AAGGGTCATTACACGTCTGCTCAGACAGCCATAGCAACAGAAAAATTGGATATTTACTGCACAGTCTGTCCGTTTGCTGCAAACTCAAGGGATTTATAGGTTTCTGACATACTAATCTATACTGTTGATCTTAAAAATAAATCTAAATCATTTGTATGTGCATCTAAATGACTGACCAAGTGTGTATTTGAAGAGCAAATTTTTATGTCTTATTGAATAGATTGTATGAAGTACATTCCCAGCTTTAAGGTTTGGCTGGATGCATCTCAAAGTGAGTTGGGCCAAAGCCTTATGGCCCGTCTCCGCTTCTAAAGAAGCTGTTGTGATGCTGAACAAATAATTCCTTTAACAGTGAAGAAAAACAGGAAAAAGTAACACCCCAGCAGTTTTGTGATTGGCTGCCCATGGGTGCCCACATCTATATTAAAAATCAGCCTATTGTTTGGACGGTTCTGATCAAAATCTCAAAGAGTGGCGATTTATCTCAGTCCTATCTTGGGGTATTTGCTTTGTCTGAAAACACAAGATAAGGAAGGAAAGGAAATGACAGCAGGGAATGATAAAAAATATATATATTCAATACAAAAAAAAAAAAAAAAATGAGGAATGAAAAAGTGAATAAGTAGCTTATTTACCATATAAATTCACCAATCTTGAGACTGATGGCTTCCCAGTGCTTTACATTTAAGTCTTCAAGTACTGAGCACAGTTCAGCAGTCCTGATGATGGTGGGAAGAAGTGGACTTCAGTAAAAGACAACACACACACACACACACACACACACACACACACACACACACACACACATACAACACACACAAACACACACCCTTCACTGTGGGATATAATGCATCTGCAGCCGCATCACCTCCGCCCTGTTTCGCTGGTGTCTTGGATCACTGGTCATGCTGTCCAACACTGTTCCGCCTGGGAAAGATCTCAACTATCAATCTCTAAGCTGTCAGCCACGCTGACCCACTGGACCCCAGACGGATCCTTCGACAGAAATCAAACAGCTCTTCCTTTGTGCAGTGAGAGCCTGATGCTTTCTTACTCTCCTTTGAACATATCTCTCAGAAGGTTGACAGTGAAAAAAAAACCAACAACTAATAAACAAGCAGTGTGAAAGTAAAGCAGGCTCCACCTAGATGTATGTTATTTGCCATAAAAATTCACGAGTTCTTCTAAATTATTCCTAACTAGAAGCAAAAATTAAACAGGAAGAAGCTTTTATGAGCTAAATGTGCAGAAAACCTGTTTATTTTTTCTTTTCTTCAAGAAGCTCTGGTACTTGTCATTTTACACATTTTTTATTGTTTGTTTACACCTGCCATTATTCTCCTTTTTTTTTTATATACGATCTCGCCACTATGAGTGCAAGACAGCTAATAATCTGTTGTTACAGACAGGTTCATGTTGTTGACCTTTCTCCGTGCCAGCACATACGTATTATGCTTGGGGTCTTTCACCTCTCTGCGAGTGCCTCTCCGTCTCTGTCTTCCCCTGGTCCTTCCCCTGAATTCTAACCTCCTTTTCCTGCCTTGTAAAATCAATTTTTATTGATTTCTTTGCACTCTACAGGGTGGAGTCAAAAGAGGGGACAAAGGAGATAAAACCATAGGCAGATTGTCAGAGTAACTCCACCATACCGCTGGGGACTTAACCGATCATGAGAGATGAGGCAGATACTGGTTTGAATGCGCTTGAAAGCACTGGCAAATAAGAGCACAATCGCATCTGGTGCCGATGGTGGATCTTAGCCAGGTTGGCTGGGTGGTCTAATTCATAACATAAATAAATAGGCTGACGACAAGAGAGAGACTGAAGCAAGGATACATCAAAAGGAGAGCAGACACAGCTGTTGCACAAACTATAAAAGTCAAATAAATTCATGAAAATAGTTCTACAGTGAACAATTTAAATAAGTATTGCACATTGTAATGTTCTTAATATCTGATCAACAACTTCAGCCCATTTAATGAAACTCTAAGCATACATTAAAGGATATATATATGTATAAAAATTTGATATTCCTGCATTACAAGGATTATGTGATGTCACATGTTATGTCAACTAATCAGCCCCCCAAAAAATGAGAAAATTTGCTCCAGGTCAACTTTCTACAATGAAATACACATTTTCATTTTGAGTTCATCTCCATAGTAAACCCAACCGGAAAAATACAGTGGAGATCATGAACGTGTAAAATTGTAGGGAAACAATTTTACAAGTTTCCTCACAAAGATTAATTAGTGGTCCGTAATTATAATAAGCGCACTTCAACTGTGAGAGACAGAATCTACAAAAATTACATTATATTTTGTGACCCTTAAAATCTATTTTGGATTTTATTTTATGAAATAACTATTTGATACCAGAAAAAGATTGAAGTTAATATTTGATACTTACAGGGTCACTTGCAGATGTGGAACGTTTCCTCTCGTTCTTAACTGGGTTAGCACACACTGTTGCAGATGGTTTTTGGGCCACTACTCCATACAGATATTATCCAGATCTTTTAGGGTTTCAGGGCTAATGCTGGCAAACACAGGGCTTCAGCTCCTTCCAAAGATTTTCTATTGGGTTCAGCGCGGCCCCTCTAGGACCTTGAAATGCTTAACTGGTTGTCCACAGGTTGCCCTGACTGTGTGTTTCAGGTTACTGCCATACTGGAAGACTCAGCTATGACTTGTCTTCAATCTTCTTATTCAGGGAGAGAGGCTGTTGGCCAAAAACCTTAACACATATCGCTCCAGCCATCATCTTCTCAATGAGGTGCAGTCGTCCAGTTCCTTTTGAAGATTAGCAGCTCATAAGAGTGATGTTTCCATCCCCATGTCTCACACTTGGGATAAGCGTCCTGGGATTTTACTCATCCTTTTTCCTTTATGAGTGATAAGTGGAGTTCATACCAAACCGTCCTATTTTGGCCTCATCTGACCACAGGACCTTCTTCCGCGTGTTCCATGGATCCTCCAGATGGTCACAGGCACACTTTAGATCAGGGGTGCTCAAGTCCAGTCCTCAAGAGCTACCATCCTGCAACTATCAGATGCATCCCTGCTCCAACACACCTGAATCAAATGAATGGCTCGTTACCAGGCCTGGTCTACTGGAGTAAGGCTGCAACTAAAAGTTGCAGGACGGTAGCTCTCGAGGACTGGACTTGAGCACCCCTGCTTTAGATGAACCTAACATGGCTCAAGCAGGAAGTACTTGCTGCATGATTTTTAATCCATACTGTGGTTCATGTTTTTTGTTCCCAGCACCTGCTGTGGAGCTTTGAGATGATACCTCATCTTTCTCATGGTCAATGATACTCCACGAGCCTCAGTCTGAGGAAATGTACATGTCATCCTGAATTTCTTCCATTTCCTATCATTGTTTTTACTTGTCAGCAAGCTGTTTGCTAATTGTCCTGTAAAATGGACTGAACTTATATAGTGCTTTTCCAGTCATTTTGACCACTCAAAGCACTTTACACTAGAGTCACATTCACCCATTCGCACACACATTCATACACCGATACGCAGACCGGTAGGCAATTTTTTTTTGCCCAGAGGCACATCGACATATGGCAGGAGGAAGCTGGAATCGAACCTACAACCTTCCGATTGCAAGACGACAACTCTGCCACACAGCCACCCTATGTAGCTTATTCCAACTGCAGATCTACAGTTGTGTTCCTATGCAATGCAGCCCATGGAACGAAAGTTAAGGTCTTCTTTTCTATTATGGCAGACACCAAGCAACTTCAAGGTGCATACCGCCACCTGCTGTAAATGACTGTATAACACAATTACTTCTCAAACGTTCTCATGAATTCTGTATTTAAAAGTCTACTTGTGTGGACATTTGTGTCTTACACAGGTAATTTCAAACAGGTGCAATCACTACAGGTAATGAATGGAGGATAGGAAGGCTTCTTAAAAATCGACCAACAAGTTTGTGAAGGTTGGAGTTCTTTTTAAATTGACTGGTGATCAAATTCTTATTTATTATGCATAAAAATTCTAATCAGTTCTTTAAAAATCATAGTTAAAGGATATTCACCAGATATGTGATGTATAGGAGTTTCACAGCGTTACCCTAAAGTCCATTCAAATACAAAATTTTGAAACCAAAAGCAATCTTAAGTCATTCCCTGGGAGTATGTTTTATTCTCTTTTTGAGCCAGAAATATTTTGTGTAAAACTTTCTGAATTAATTTTAATTTAAGTTCTCAAGAATTTGAGGCAGATTTTGTTGAAGGAATGTTTTAATAATTCAAATAATAACGCTTACCCAGGCTTCCTGTACTACAACTTGTCAAAAGAAATCTAGTTTTCATTTCTAACACAGCTGTTTTTTTCATTCCATACTGATGAACCACAGTAAAAAGAAATGTTTTTTTTATGATCTTCAAATGCTACATGCCAATCTAATACAACAATACTTTCCAACTGTGATTTATTTTTTCCCAGAGAGTGGAAGGTCTTCAATTATTACTCTTCTCTGAGAAAAGCTAAGCTCAGACATGCTTGCATCTGCACATCCTCATTCCTCCACCTCTATATTGCGTGACCAGTAAAAGCCTGAAATAACAACCCAGTTCACAAATTTAGAGCCTTTTGTGCTTTGCTCAGTGTTGATAGCTCAGAGTACACACAGTATCTGCAACAAGAATACAATAATTTGTATTTATGTGCTTATGTACTGCTTGCACAAACACTTTACGTTTTAAAACGCATGTTGTGGGGGCTGTTGGACTCCACGATCAACTTCATGCCAGTAAAGTAGATTTAGTGACATGACAGACGAACACTGGTTAAAGTAGCAAAGCAAAACCTCAATAAAATGTAAATACATTGAGGCCCCTGTTGTCTTCAGCAGTAATGTCAAATAACCAACAATATCCTACAATAACATCAGTGGCTAGTTTGCTTGACAAAAGCGCCACCTGGTGGGGGAACATAGTATAGTTACAAAATCATTTAAAAAAGAAGTCCAAACACTCAACATATTAATGAGAAGTTTAATTTTGCACTTGCATGGAAGTATGTACACATTTGTCCATTTGGACGAAACAAATATAAAAGTGCACATGATAGAAAAAACAAAATAAAAAAATAAATTAAATTAAAAAGACTTGAGCTCAAATCAGCTAAATGACCTAACAGTTTAACAAAAAATGTACAGGCATATTGTGGAATAGAGGCTGTAATGTATAACAAGAATCACAAAATGCAGCTGTTGGTCTGATAAAAAGGAATAAACTATTCTCAAACTTAAAAAGTGAACATTTGCAAGATATTTAATTTTATAAAAGTTTGTAGATTATATAAAAATGTAAAAAAAAAAAAAAGAAAGAAATCTGTGTATCCAGAATGATTTTCTAGCTTAACAAAAATAAATGACACTCAAGACATTTCATTACACAGCTTTCTAAATTCTGCATCTTCCAAAGTGACATAACCATTACATGTGACTGCTTAAGGCTAGCAAACAGTTTTAGTACATTTGTAGTGCTTACATTTGAAAAATGCCTCGAAAATCCATTTTAAAGTACTGCAAGCCTTTTAAACATCGACGCTCTACTTGAGGGAATATATTTGAAGTGCCACGGAACCTGCAGAAATGATGTATGTTACTCAAATGTAAAATGCAAGTACTTTAGTTTCAAAGTTCAATGCGGCTTCAGTTTAGCAGCAAAATGCATATCTGAATATGTAACATGCTACTTTATCTTAATAGTAATAGATGTTTGCTCCTGCTGGCTGAATATTCAATAAACAAAAGTTCACAAGCCATGAAAAAAAAGAGTAATTTGTAAAACTGCCTCTTTAAAAATTTGAATTAATAATAAAAATAAAATCAGCATGACTGAAATGACTGTCTGATAAATATGAAACTAAAAAAAATAATGTCATATTTATGTACTGTATTACAAAACTAAATTTACTATCTCTATTTATTGCATGTAGCTACGTTGCTATTTTTCATTATATATATTCAAGACTGACCACACCTTGGATACAGCTGAGAAAATGGCAACAGGGGTTCACACACTTTTTTCCCCCACTGAAGTAAACTAATGAAAGGCTTTCACAATACAGTCACAGATAATGAGTCGACATAGTAACCACATATAGATTTTCGCATCCATAGTATTCTCTGCTGGTGTACAACGGTAAATGTGAAACGACAATGACAAAAAACCCACCAGACTAGTGGGAGCACCCATAAAGATTAGAGAAAGTCAACATGGAAGAAATTAATGACTCAAAACACTTTACAGCAAAATGAAATATTCTGTGTTCTATAATTCTGAACTATTGTAAAGGTGTGCAAATAAAGCAATGGGATATACCTGCCATGCATTGCAATCTATGTTACACAGCTGCAGTCTTGCATAGTTGATTTAAAATACATGCATTAGTGTTTTCATGCAATACTGCATTCATTAATCATTCTGGTCTGTACAATGACAAGTTTACAGGAAACAGCAAAGGAAAATGAAAAGAAAAAAGAGACATGCACTGCAGTGCAGAAGGGTAAACAAAGAAGATTCATGAGAAGATTATGATTCAGCTTTAATGTTTTCAACTGGAATGAGAATTGGTTTAATCTTTGATTGTACACATTTTTATACTTTTTTTTATCTCACATAATCCAGCATCTGGAGATTAAAATTATATGAAGTAAATCCCAAATTATATTTGTTTTTTTTGTTACAATTTTTGTCTCTCTTGAACATTTGGAAGCAGCTTTCATACATAAATTTTAAAAATTAGAAAATTAAGATCTCAGATTGCAGCAAAAGAGCACAGTATCTTAACATCCTCAAGAAACTGTATTTTGACTTTTTAAGCTGTAAGCCTTAATCATTAGAATTAATGGTTCTTTTTAAACTGAATTACAGAAATAATTTTTATCTCTCAGTAATATTTCAATTTACTAAATTGCATCTCAGCTGAAAACCTGCCCAATTTCCAAAGAGTTAGCTGCCTGATGTTTCATACTGAACTATAAGTCCTAACCAGTCAGATCTCTAAGTATTTTGCATGTTTAAAGAAACTGTCAGAAATGTAGTGGTAATAAAAACTGTGGAACATACCACCTGTCTTTACAGGGTCCCAAAAACTCAACAATGCTTTGGGAAGATGATGTGCCCAAAAGAGATGATTTATATTTACATATTCGTAATAAAGTATTAACATTTAATGTTTTTTTTTTTTTTTTTTATCAGATTGTCTAACAGCGACCTCCAACCCTAATAGAAAATATAAAAAAGCTTTGTAAGTAAAAGGGCATCACACCGCTTTATGGCTACATGAACTTGGACATGACTGGAAACAAACATGAAGGATGAGCCATTTCTGAAATGTATACCAACAGTTACAGACTTTACAGAAAGACAAAGCAAAATGAATCAAAAAAAATATCTCCTTTGATTCAAGTGCCATGCACATGTTCCTGATAGATTGGGTAAATAGAGCAGCTACAGCAACACCATATTATCTAAACATGCTGCCTTTTATTTTTATGGTCTGTGACAGAAATGAGCTGTTATAGTAGGCATCAACTGAGGATGATGCCATATCCAAATGTCTGATTGTACTTTTGAGTATTGCAGAAACACGTTAAAGAAACGTACCTACAGGAAGTAAAACATAATTAAAAATGTGTTTCATTGTGTTTTAATGGTCACAAAGGAGGTGTCTAGTTTTTAAATTCAAGCCTATTTGTTTTATGAAACATTATTACTGATAGATCCTGTCTATCATGTTAACAATGTATTTGATTCAATAATTTTATTTGGCAGTTTAGATGGAGAATTATACACTTTCCAACCTGATCTTGGTGCATCGCTCCAGTCTTAAACTTAAGATTGGCAAATCCCAATCCAATAATAGACTTTAATAGACTGATCTAGCCAAATATGTCACAGACCATTTAAATAATGCAGTCAGGTTCAATAAGGTGGCATTTTCTCAAACAACTCGAGAGCTATTGTAAACTTGACAAATGCTACGAAAACAAACTCCTGCATAGCTAAAATGAAAAAATAAAAACATTTGAGACTTAAATTCTGATCCTTTACAGACATTTAAATCTTTGAAAACAAAGTGTCTGCTGGTATTTGATGTCTGAGTATTGCCAGTAGAGGTGGCACAGTTTAACAATTACTAAGCTACAGTTACAATCTAAAATAAGCCCAGCAAACCTGATGACAAGCGCCAGACTTTGTTTCATTTTTTTTTTCTTAAGTAAATCTGTCATGCACTGTCCGGAAGATCAGATGAGAAAGTTCAGCATTCATGTCCACACATTGACAACTATTCCCGGACAACATATGTTGAGTTATTTAGCTAAGTAAATGGCTCATTACCAATAATGTGATTCAGGCTTCAGAAGACAAAATGTTGTTTAAGATAACATCTTGAATGAGGTACCAAAGGTTATGATACAAACACCAACAGCTCTGTAACTCATTAAAATTGTGGTTACAGTTCTTAACGTAATTATTTAAAAGAAAAGAACCTGTCAGTGCTACTGAAGCAGTGGTCTGTTACAGCACTAGTTGTATTAGATGAAATATTTCTTATGGTAGGGTGAACCCTGCAACATTGAGATGAATGTACCCTTTTACCACTTTAAGTCTAAGGCTCCTTACTCTACTTTACAATGTACCCTATAATATTTAACAAACTATTATATAATAACTTTCCTATGTTTTCAACGATACAAAGTGCTATTGAACAACATTCCTATAGGTGACACTTACAGTAAAAGACTATTTTGCCAAAAGGCCATTTTTGTTCCATATGCAGCATTAAAAGGCGCTTAAGATTATTTCTTATCTTGCTCATAGAGGGGGGAAAATGGATACAATTTATGTTATGTCCACAATTTTATAGTTACATCAATATGTATTGATACATTTAGATTTTAAAGGGTTTTCCTTTCAAACCATCCAATTTTTTTATATATACATAAGAACTTAAATACATTTTTACTTAAAAAAAATCTTTTATCAAAACAGTACTCTATAAAATAAAAACTAAGGTTTCAAAATTTTGCAGAACCTCTTTTATAGAGTAATTTTTTATATTTCCGGGTTTGGTCTAGAGCCATCATTCACTTTAATATTTTTAATATTCAAAATAAAGACTCATTTGTTGTTGCTCCTATACATCAATACCAAAGGCTTTTAAGAATGTTAGCGAATTTTTAGAAGTAAATATGGCATGCATTTTTCTCCACTGCTTTCAATTTAAAAACTTTGCATTTATAGTAATAAATGTGTAGACAACATGAAGACAAGTGAGAAAAGCATAGGCTCAAAGCAATTCACAAAAAATAAAATTTTTAAAGATTTCAGAATGAAACTCTTAAAACGTTTTTCTGAACTATAAAATAACTGGGAACTGGTACCAGAGGCTAATTTTGATGTCATGGTTTTGTTTTCTTTGAGATTGGCTTTTGAATATTTACAGAAGACATTCAAAACATAAGCATCAAAAGGCTGGAAAAATACTGTTAGCATGTCAGGCAAGTGCCATGAATTCTTGTATGCAGACAATAGAATGTTTTTACTTTAATAAAAAACAAAAAAAGAAATATCTTAAACAGAGAAATTTCAAAGCCAAAGATTTTAGGGCTAATGTAGAAAACCATAACACCAAAAAGTATGTCTCAAATACATCTGATGCTAACTGAAACCCAGATTCAACGTAAATAGCTGCATTGTTCTATTTCTCATTACTATTACCGATGTATTACTGAGGCCTCTGTGTTGTTCGTGCAGGAGATTGCATGCTTGATGACAGCTTTCGAGAAGATGTCATCTTTTCTAGAGGTTTCTTCCCATCTGTACGAGACTTGCTACTTACATCGGATGAGGAAGACTTGGACTTTCCTAGTAAAGTACGACTAAGAGAGCTGGGGAGCTTGGAAGACTCCTGCTTGTCTGAGTTTGGCTCGCCTCCCAGAGTTTCTTTAGACATTTTCAAGGACCCTGCTTCTCCAGTCTTTTGATCATCACCGTCTACCTCCTTAGCTTGTCCATTCTGCTTGCATGTCCTCTCTGAAGCCAATTTGGTAAGCAATGCACTTTTTCCTAAATCGGCCGACCGGCGACTTTCTCTCTGTCGGAGGGCACTCTTGAAGAAAGACAAACCTTTCTCCTCTGATTTGCTACTCCGTTGCAGGTCTCTGGTGGATACACTTGGTGAGCGCAGGCTAGTGACTGAAGAACTGCTGCTTGAACTCCTTACAGACCTCCTCTCAAGCCGACTACTGTCCCCATTCTTGGGAATTGAACTGCGGGACACACAGCTGCTCCGATGGCTATCAACTAGGGGGCTGGTGTGCATAGAATCTCTGCTGTAACTCCTTTCCATCAGTCGTTTCCGGCAGCTTGTTGAGCCCTTCTCAGTAATGCTTGAGTTCTTCTTCGCAGTTGGAGAGGGAGAAGCTGAAGACTGAGGTGTGGAGCAGAGGGAAGGTTTACGTTGTGGAGTCGCCTCTGGAGTTTTATTTGATTCCTTCGTTTTCGAGGGAGTTCCACTGGGTGTCAAGGTGCTTTTTTTTGTATTTACAGTCTTCTCCTTCGTGCTGCTCAGCTTCTTGCCTTTTGCCGGTGAACTGGAAGACGCTTCGGAGGCTGGGTTTTTATTAATTGAGCAAAGACGTTTTTTGGAGGTCTTCTCCAACTCTGTTTTGCTGGAGCTCTTGGTGGAGCCTGTGCTTTCAGACTTCAGGGTAAATCCTCCAATGCTACTTTTTCTTTTTTGCTCTTTGGAGGGGGTTGCTTGAGTGGGTTGTTTGTTTTGGTCAATAGCTGTGATCTCATTGTTGTTTTCAGTTGTGTCGTTTTTGCTGCTCTTCTTTTCCACTGGGGTGGGAGCCTTGCAGTACATCATGTCTAGGAACCTTTTATTGCTGTCTTCACCGAAGTTGCTTTCCATCATAGACAACGGAGTCCTGCTGCCAAAGTACCGTTCATGTCGACTGTAGCTGCCAAAACAGGATGTGGATACCTTATCGTCGCCTGCCTCTCCTATCCTCTCGAGAGGAGGAGAACATCGAGAGTCTAAGGAGAAGCGTGAGGGTGAGTTGGATCTCATCTGGAGCTTGGCAGAGAGAGACCAAGACGGCTTCATTCCACTGTCACTGAAGGCCAAAGGGCTGGCAATAGATGACCTTGAGGACAAGCTCTGCCGCTGGATGCTTCTCACAAATGGGCGGACAGAAAATCCTCCTAAAAACAGCAAAGATTTGAGAGATTCTTTGATTATTAAGCTAAAAAGATTTTTGCTTTTCTGTAAACTAAATGAGTGAACATCAAACAGGGATGGGCGATATGGACTTAGAATTTTATTACAGTATTTTGTGGTACTATTGTGATAATAAAAATCATGACAAAAAACTATGTATTATATCTTTATTAAGTAACTGTAAGGCTCAACAATCACAGCAAATGTAATTCACATCAATAAACAATTACAACAATAAATCTAAATTTTTATCATGATAAGAAATTTTCATAAATGATAAACAATACAGTAATTGCCCACTTGTAATATCAGAATAATATGGTGTTTACAAAAGTAGGACATGATAATAATATGTCCATCCGTCCGTCCATCCATCCATCCATCTTTCCACCTTTATCCCTATTGGGGTCGGGAGTTGCTGGTGCCTATCTCCAGCTACGTTCCGGCCGAGAGGCGGGGTACACCATGGACAGATTGCCAGTTTGTCGCAGGGCAACGCAGAAACAAACAGGACAAATAACCATGCACACACACTCACACCTAGGGAAAATTTGGAAAGACCAATTAACCTGACAGTGGTGTTTTTGGATTGTGAGAGGAAGCTGGATACCCAGAGAGAACACACTCTAGCACAGGGAGAACATGCGAACTCTGTGCAGAAAGACCCCGGGCCAGGAATCGAACCCAGGACTTTTTTGCTAAAAGGTGACAGTGCTACCAACTGTGCCACTGTGCAGCATAATAATATGTATTTTATTAAATTGAGGCAATCTAGTAATAACGGACACAAAAACAAGTTTTGGAACTCATGAAAATTGTGGTTGCCAACAGAATCAATAAACTGACATGGACATAAATCATAAGTAGTTATTTATTATGTATATTGCAGAGAGGCACAGAATTATTGAATTTGTTCCTATCAACTATGTAGAAACGTTTAAGTAATATTTCATCAGAAATTTTTTGGGGGGTAAGGTGAATGGGTTTGTAGCAGCTTGATTACAAGGAAAAAAAAAAGTTTTTATTTAGCCTGATTTCATTTCTGGTTGTAGGCTTCTTTAGCTTTGTGATTCGCTCAAAATTAATATGGGAAAGTACAGTCAGATGAATGTGGTTAAAATGCCCACTTCCCATGCAATTTCAAACACTATAAATGAAGATCTATCCTCACCATCATCCTCATTACGTTCTGCAGGAAACTCCACCGACTCAGCCAGTGAAGCAAGCGAGGTACGTCTGGAAGAAGCTCCAGAGGCCAAACTGGCAGGCCTGCTTCCAGGTAACCTATTGATCCAGTGGTCACACAGTGATGAGCTAGTGGAGCCTGTGTGACAGACAAAGGATTCAACCACAGATCAAAACTCAAGCTCCAGTACAAAGAGAGTTCTCAAGTAATTCTGTCAAAACATGATCATTGGGTTAAGTTTGCATACAAACAGTATAGAAATGATGCTGACCAGCAACAGAGCTGTTGGCAGACCAAGAGGGAATTGCGGTTCTTCTCTGGTAAAACAGTATATAGGCCGTTTGCTGACACACAGCATCATCAGAAATTGGTGTCACCTCACTGTCATCGAAGCAGTACCACTGACCATCAACTGAGTTTTTGCAGTAAGCTGAGAACAAAGAACAAGAATAAACAGGTTCAAATTAACAATCAAATCTATTCATTTGGATCTTGAATTATGAACATTGTTTAAAATTGCTTTAACTATGTGCATCACCAGTGTAGTGTCCTCCATGCATATTGCCATGATGGTTGCAAACAGCATAGAGGTCATAAAGGTAGTCATCAGGGTTCCTTCCAAGGCCATAGGACCTTCTCCATGGTGACCAGTGAGACGGTAAACTCCAACTGCTCTGGCTTCTCTTGACCACATGTGGTGCCATGTCCATCCCCATCAGTGGGAACCTCACCATGTTCTGCATCTTCACCCTCCGGTCTCCTTCCTGAATTCAGAAACCGATCGCGATCCAGAAGCAAGTTAGATTGAAAAGTTTTTTTGTTTTTTTTCAGAAATCTACTGTCAAAAGTGTGACTTACTGTATGTAACATAGGGATTACTTAAGCACAGCGATGTATTTCAAACATTTATTTCTGTTAAATTTTGTTTTTTAACGTAATTTTATCACTATAGGACCAATAAAAATCGTATTACATAATCTTAGCCAAAACAAAAAAAATCTCCATTTACTGTTCAATGGACTCAAATTTGATTGTGCAGCATGAATTACTGCATCAGTGCTCATCTGCATTGTTGCTTCTGGTGTTTCTCATCATCTTCTTGGACTGTTCTTCATACATTCTCAAACAGGTGATGTGATTTACTACAGCACTTTTTCCTTCCACTCAACTTATGCATAATAACCAGTAACATGCTTCACCAACCAACTTCCACAGCAATGTCTTTTCATGGCTTATGTTCCTCTGAACAGAGGGTGTCAATGACTGAAAACTACTGACAAATCAGCAGTCTTATCTATACTTGAGTAGACAACAGAAAACCTTTAGATAAACCAAATCCTTTTTTATAGATTTTTTGAAACATTAAAATTTTTTGAGATACTCAATTTTTAGTTTGAACTACCTGCAAGCCATCAAGATCACCATGAATAAATGTAATTAATTACAGAAACAAATTATGTTTTCAAATAATTAAATGCTTGAAAGACAATTTTAAATTTATTTTGTAATCACTTCAGCTCAAATACCTGTCGAAATCTCTTGAGATGCAGTATAAGCACATCCGGCAGCGTCCACAAGCTGAGCTTTATCCGGCCCTGCTGCAGCTGCTTGCAGTGGGGACAGCGCCAGGCATCGTCTGGAGCCAGCTAAAACACACACACGCAGTCCAAAAAGAAGAACAAGTTTCAACCACACTGCTTTTAAAATAAGCTCCACACAGGATGAGGCCCACATTTCCACCCTTTTCTCTACTTTCCACCAGAGCAGTTCAAGGCAAGTTAAACCACAATGGAGGTATTTTACTAAGCTTAGGATTTTTAGTCTATCTGAAACATAGCATTAGCAGTTACATGCCATTAAACTGTGAGAACAAAATAGCTTTTGGATGTTTGGAGAATTTTTCAAACTGCAAAACAAAAAGAAAGGGAGGGATTTTTTCAAACTGCTATCGCCAAGGCAAATTTAGGTTATATTCTTTTCATGGGAAACCACTGGGTGAAAGCATATTTGTCTGCTGGTTTGTACCTGCTCCTCTTTAGTGTAGAGCTGAAAGCAGTGAGCGAGGGTGCAGGCCTGGGGCTGATGATGCTGCTGCCTATGCAGATAGACGCTCTCAGCATCTGGAATATACTCCTCCTCAGTGTGGCCGAACAGACTGCAGAAAACAGAAAACGAACAATCAAAATGAGCCTTTGAATTCTTCAAATACCTTTTGTTTTAGTTGATATTATAATTAGAGTATATTTTGATACTGCATTGCAGGTTAACACCAATAAATGTGGCAGTAATCAATTTGAGTTTATCACTTCTGCTCGCATCAGTTCAAAGAAAAATCTGGTTTATTTTTTCAAAATCAGACAATTGTGAAAGGCAGTACCACCGTAGAAACTGTCAAGAGCTCAAAAGAGATTGAGTCTGGTTTGAGGTTATTTTGAAAGCAAAAACGTCAGAAATTCTGATCAAAGTTGTCAGATAAGGTCTCCGTGACTTTTATAAATTGTTGTTGACCTGCAAAATCTTCTGCACTACAAAAGATGTTATTCACTGACCGGAGGTTTTTGATTTAAATAATACAATCTTTTTTAACATTCTTAAATAGTGTGCTGCATTACAGAATCTCTCTTTTTATGGCATTTAGCAGCCAGCATTAACTTTGTTAATACAACTGTGTTTTAACTCACTAGTCCTTGGTTTCCTTGTCCCACTCGACCACAATCTTCACATGTGGAGGTCCCCCTTGTCCACAGGACTTGTATGCTCTGCAATAAAAAAAAGTCAGTGACATTTTTGTTTACAATTCATACTCCTGTTTCACCCATTTCGTCCTATGATTAATTCAAAACAATATTGTGCTTAACTGCTAAAATCATGTTTTATTTCTAGTTGTCCTTCAGAATTTTCAATGATTAGAGACAAATAGCCGTAAAAGTGTAAAATCTCAACTTTACACTTATTCAAATGTAAAAACTGAATTGCCACAGCTACATACTAATAATAAAATATTAATATTTTTGTTATGTAAAGCCAGTGTTAAGAACTGTTAGAACCAAATGTTCTTTTATTCATAATATGTCACTTATAGATCGAACAGTATAACAACAATATATGAAGGATTGCTACACAAGACTGACAAGCTGTACTGATTCATTAATGCAAAGTGCAGTGGATTAACAAAACAAGTTAAACTAGAATCTCAACACTCAAATTCCTGTTTCAACATAACTTAATTATGTTAATCAGGCTTAATTTATATATGAAAATAACACTTGATGTCACAGGTTCAATCTATAAAAGCTTAGGAAACATAACATTAGCTATATGAACTGACCTTTCAACCGTTGGGTGACACAGTGGTCTCTCATCTTGAGGAAGGAGGTAGGTAATACCAACAACGCCAACCACCCGCAGACTGAAAGGTCCAACCTAAGCAATAAAGTAACAGATGTTCTACTTTCTTTATATTGCTCTTTGTGATCTCACTGCTGGAAATAAAGAGTCGGTTCACAGACAAAATATTTAAATTTGATTACACACAATGTAACAGGCAGAAATTGAAAAACTCCCTACCTGAATGTAGACCCCAGGCCTCAAAAGATGTCGCATTTTCTCCAGGATCTCTTTTTGAAGAGCATCCCAAGTCACAGTGCGCTCCATGTACAGTACAAAAGGCAGGCCAAATCTAATAAAACATATTATATAGCTGTGATTAACTAGGAAGACACTTAACCAAAATTACAAGCTTTGACATATTTCATAGCAGTACCTTTTTGCCTGGTGGCCAGTGCACGCTCTGTTACACACTAGGAGAATAACCTTTTCTGGCCCGACATTTTTATTTGGAGAGCCAGTTACAGGAGTCATTGCACCCTGCATGAAGGATGGAGTCCTGCTGATTTCTGCCCCGTACTTTAAATTGTTATGATTTAGATTTGCTAGAAGGCTTCCTGTGACAAAAAAGGCACACTGATGTTTCTGTCTCTGCATTGTTTATTATATGCAGAAAAAAACACACTTTGAAACAATTTTTGAAAATTGTTTCCAGCTTACCTCTTTTTGTGCGTAGGTTTTCTAATTTGAAGGTCTCTGGTGTCTCAAAGGCATAGATGGAATCGCTCTCTTGGATGATGTCAAGATCATCGTCATCATCGCAAAATGAGCGATGGAAGCCATCGTAATACATTTCAGTCAGAACAAACTGCGGGAAAGCAAAAAGGAAAGCCGACATAATGCTTTTGCTGACAGCTACCATCAATTTCAACTCGTGCTTCAGGGAAAACTAGTTCAATTTACAAATTACTATTTGACTGGAAGGTAGAACAGGTTCAACACACACTGACTGAGCCAACACCTTGTGCCTGTAACATAACCTTTCAGTGTCAGACCCTGAACAGAGACAGGAATAGCACCTGGTCCATTGGGATCTTGGTTTCACGTGACACAGCGTCTCTGAGGCGATAGACAGTACTTTTGAGAGGAACAGCAACTCCAATCCTCATGCAGTGAGAGTACTTCCCCTGGTAGACCACAGTCACATACAAGGGCCTGATGAAAGAAAAACAAAGTAAAAAGTATTGTTTTATGTATGATGATTTGCAAATTATCATTTCATTTAAGCCAGCAGTAAATTTAAAATGAAGTATCACATAGAGACTGACATTCTGACTCAATAAATTAGTAGTGTGTCCTTTATTGGTGCAGAAACCACATAATTTCTGAATTATTCCAACAGAATAATCAAAGTTTACATTAATAACTGCACATTCGAGAGAAGATGTTTGATACGCTCAACAGTAATGTCCAGGTTTCATTTCCAGTCAACAAGATTTTTGATCCTTGCAAAGCCAAGTTGTTCAACACATTCTCATTTTCTCTATTTTTAAGAAGGTAAAAATTGTTCTCATTTTAAAAAATTTCACTTCTTCACTCCTACCAAAGACAAGAATCTGCAATTTGGGACAAGTGGGGAAAACTGAATAGTAAACTCATCCATCCTGTACTACCAAAGAGAAAAGATGCACTGCTTACAGGTTAAATTTGCTGATCTACAACATAACAACATGCTTCACCTACAGTAGTTTTTTTTTGTTTTTCTTATTTTCTCTCCTCCCTCTCTGCTCACACATAATTGTTTTCGTTCTAAAACTGGAGCACATGCTCCTACTCAACTCATTTGATGCTCCTGCATCTTTTGCCTGACAGTCCTCCTGTCAAAACAGGTTTCCTTCATTCCCTTCACCGCCACACACAGTCCAACACTTCCATTATTGTCACACCCTTGTAAGCTTCTCAAAACACATACACCTGCATGCACAAACACTGTTTGACCTAAAGTCAAAAGTGGCAGTGCTTTAGAGACTACATGCAGTCTATTTAGGTACGTGTAGTTTCAAAGAAGAAAAGACAGCCATGTCAAGTGGCAATAGTTAGGAACATGTGGGGACCCGTAAGCAGATCTCTAGAAACTGGTTCCTCCCTGCTGATCCACAACCAGAGCTTTAAACAGGAACTCACCTTGTGTGTGGCAGAGGGATTGGTAAGGAGATGCAGAGAAAGGGGTCAAAGGTGTTGCTCTGCTTTTGGCAATGCGGGCAAGTGAGAGAAGACCTACAAGAGGGAAAAAATAAATAAATAACTTAATGTGACAAACAGATAGTGTTAGCAAACTCTAAATGAATCAAGTCTACCTGTACTGAGCCTGGAACAGCTCCTGCACAAACGACCCAGCAGAGAGAGGAGGAGAGGGCCCCTCTAAGCTCTGGTCATCTTCTTCAATGGGAGGCTAACGAGATGAGATGATTTATTAACCTGACTGATGGGTCATAATTACACTTGTCAGTGAGGTGCATATGCCTTGAGATGCAAATATACATTACTAACTTCAAGTGGAAGCACAAGGTCAGACAAGTCTAATTTGCTCCAACTACAATTTAATGAGCAAAATTAAATAGGAAACAATGTGATAAAAAATTACATAAAAAATATAATCCGATGGCTCAGATATCAAGAGTAAAGTCTCAGATTTCTCACAAATATGAGACTTATTATCCTTCTAATAGCTTCACAATTCACCTTAATAGCAGGCCTGGTGTTTGGGTTGACGGTGTTGAGATCCTCGTGCACTCTGTCCAGCAACCACAGTAGAAACTCTTGAGCATCGTGTTGAGCGTTCCCTTTAAACTGTGTGGCATTTTTTGACACAGCATTCTGCAACAAACGACAAAATCCAACAATACAAAACACTGACTAAAACTCTAAAACATTCATTTTGCCTGTTTTTTAGTTCATTTTAGCAGATTAATTCAAATGAAATCTTGGGGAACATAAACAGAAACACATTATCAAATCAATCCAACATGAAATTATACATACAGACTGAAATTTGACTATATACATCCAAACTTGATTTTAAGACTCAGAATAAATTGATTTTATCTATGCTATATATATTTCTAAGGTTTCTTTCAGCCTTATTTTAGATAAACACAAGAGCTATAAATATTTACAATATGTTGTAAATATTTCCACATCTAAAATTAACACGTGCAATGATAACACAGCTGGCTAAGAATGTAAAATTTCCTGACAAATAAACCCTAAATGTTTGGAATTAATCATTTGTATGCTGATAATTAGTGCAGCATCGATCAACCAACCAGACATGAGACATTTTCTGCCATCAGCTCTGACAGATGATCATTTGCTGAAATAATAAACTGGATTTTCTTCCCATTCTTCCGAAGAATAAAGCAAAAACGACCACAATTTTTAATACCGTCAACTTTAATTCACATTTTCTAGAATATAAATTCCTCAAAGATTAAGAGATATTTTTATTGAATGAAATGACTAACCTGTTGGAAAAAAAAGTGATATTTATCTTTAAAGACTGATTATTTTTTCTAAGTAATCAGAATCAACAGATAAGACTCCCAAAGAAAACTGGCACATGATACTGGCTCAAAAAAAGCCTGATCAGTGCATCTCTACCCAACAATATATTCTGACTGTGAACCTTAATCCACATCTAAATCAGTGTCAAGATGCTAAAGCTTACAAAGAATTTGAAACATTGTAATATGAAAAATCAGAATTTAATGTCCATTTATACTGTGTTGTTTTGGTTCTTACCTTGAAGTCCCTGCTATGCTGAGGTGTGTATTCAAAAGTCCACAAAGCCCGCACCAGTCCGGACAGCTGTTCGGTCACTTCCCCTTTACCAAGAGGTCCTTTCTTCTGCAGATGGACGCCGTTTGTTTTGGGCTTATCCTCCTCTAATTCCTCGCCTTTGTAGTGCTCCAAAACGAGGTACTCGGCGAAGAGTTCCGTGTTACTCAGGCACTGCAGGATTGCATTCATGAAGCAGGTATTACCGTGGTTCTTCAGCCCTGACACTCCGGGAACTCGCTCTCCGGACAGGAACCCACCAAAGTCCCCATCCTCCATGGGAACATCTTTGCTCCCAGATTTGAACGCGGAGAATCCTCCATCATCCTTGTCATCATCAGTTTGTACTTCAGATCCAAAGTGTGATAAGGCTGTCAGCGTCCGGAGGACTTTGCTCATAAAGCTGCCCACGGAGCGCACAGAGCCTCGCCTGAACAGCTTCTTGCTGAAGCTCGACTTCTTGTCCTTGGTTGCGGCTTTGCAGGACATGATTTCCCTTTTGCCTTCTGACAGACGGGCTGTGCTGAACCAGGGTCAGCTCACTGGCTGCCTGCTGCTACATCTCAAAACAGCTTGTACTGGGACAACTCCGAGTCTGTTAGCTAACCTTAACCGTTGATGCACGCGACATTTTGCCTGAGATGCGTCTCCCTAAAACTCACACAACAGTTAATTACTTATATATGTACATATATATATAAAACTACTACAAAGAACTGCAATAATGAATAGAATAATATCCAGATATTAACCCGGTTATTACGGAACGGTGCAACTTGCAACGGAATTACCTTGTTTTTGCGGCTTTCTGCCCTGCAACCATGAATCAGTTATGCTGAAGTATAAAATAACAGCAGCCTTAGCTAATTTAGCCCAGGCTAATGCTAGCTCCAATAACAACACGAACACCTGAAACGGTGACAGTCGGTTTCGGTCGAGATATTTTGGTCCAGTCGGAAGGCATATTCCGCCATGACATGCAGCTAACGACGGTCAAAGTTAGACACCGTGCTGAAACTGAATAACCTCACATTTTAGGTTCATTTAGAGACACATTCGGGCCAGACTGGAAAGGCTTGATTTACTTCTTCTTCATGTGAGATGCGAAAGTCACAGTTTACAACTGCTTTACAGCACCACGCACTGGACAGGAGGGAGTCTTACTGAATTGTTGTTTTGTTTTGTTTTATGATTTACTTCTCATTTGACACTGCTGATAGCCAGTAAGCAGTGTCAAAATCTGTGCTCAAGTAACATTAGCACTGCTTCAACATATATTATTATTATTATTATTATTATTATTATTATTATTATTATTATTATTATTATTATTATTATTATTATTATTATTATTAAACTATTTATTCTTCTATCATTAAGTCACATAAACACACAGTCTTGGTGCTTGCAAATCAATTTTCAATTCCCATTCATTAAACAATAATAATATTAAAGTCACCTTCTTCTGTGTCATAGTATTGAGGTTATTCACCTTTATCCAACATTGCCAGTGAAGACTAAAAGAACAGAAAAAATGACTCTTCAGTTTCTTTGTCTCCCTGAGGGGGGCGCAAGAAGCACGCATAAACAAAAAAATAGATGAGAGTCTTGCACATAAACGCACGGAATAAAAAAAATTAATTATCATTGTTTAAATTATTCATAAACAAAGATGGCATGTTAATTTTTTCATTACCCTAGTAGTTAAATTTATAGTTGCACAATTATGACTTACAATACTTTTACAGATAGTTATCTAATTGTGTTTCTTGCTTTTTTCTTCTTCACAAAAATAGAAAAGTTAAATCCTCTCAACTGAACTGGGCATTTGTCCTGAACTCTACCCAATGAGTTGTGTGAAATGAACCGAGAAACTTGTGAGGCTGGGCTTTATAATTTATTTCAGACTTACAGGAATCAAATTAACAGTGTAACATAATGAGGGCATTAGACTGAATTTTCCTCATGTTAAATTTGTTTGACTTAGACTGACGTAATCAACATTGTTTTGTTCCGAGGTCAACACTAATGTATTCTATTGGGAGATTATGGTGGGCACTTGAATTAATTAATGCAAAACTTTGATTTGCAATAATAAGATTATTTTGTTAAAATGGAGATAAGAACAGAAAATAGACTTGTACATTCAAACCTAAAAGAAAAACCTAAGAATAGACGTGATGAAAATAAATAAACAAAATAATCACCTATGAGAAAACATTGATCCAATATAGCTTAATATCTGTCTGAGTGCGGGACTTAAAAAGTCACTTTTCCTTTTGCCCTGGTTATGACCAAATCCTTCACTTGCTATTTGCCGTCAACACTTCAAGTAGTTGAAACCAGCTGGGGAAGTTCTCTAATGATGTGTCCATGGAAACAAGGAACATGGTCACATGTGTCTTATCATCACTGAGCTCAGGAAAAGCTCTATACTTTATCTTGGATCTTACAACAATGCCAAAGCATTTCAAAGTCGAGAACAAGTCCACATTTGTGTTTTTTCTCCTTAATGTGCTTAACAAAGCCTCTGACAAAAACCTTTTGGATTCTTTACTCAACACCTCTCTCAGATTGATTGAATGATTTGATTGTACACCCCTCTATATACAGACATTTTGGAAGAGAGAGCAAAAAAAAATTGTCTACCAACCCTCAACAAACCATTAACCATAAACAACCTAAACATTAATTAATACCTTTAAGCATGAAAACTCTCAGTGACTAAATCATTTTGGAATCCTGAACCAACTTTCATGTCCTTCGAAACCATTGAATTTCTGACAAAGAATTGAGAAAAGGCTTTAAAGATTTATGATTAATCTAATGTTTGGAGAGTTTATTTACAAAAACAACATCTATTGTTTCCAAAGACTTCATCAGTGTTTTTCACTGACAACAGACATTTGAAATAATTTATAAGAAGAAAAATTAATACCTTAAAACTTGTTATATTTGACCTCTTTGATGTATGATATTCCAATAAACTCTAATTAGGCTGTAGTAGTAGATTTTACTTTGTGACTAAAAATAAATTCCTCCTTTCTAAACAATGTGTTGCACCCTCTGTGATAATGACCATGTGGGAAATCTTTTTTAAAGAGAGGCTATACCCTGCAGGAGAATGCTCGTGTGCCTATTTAAAGAATTTACTTGCATGTCCTCCTGTCATAAACTAAAGAGTGAGCAAATGTCTGGTGTTATGCAAATCTGACTTGACTGTAAATATACCAGTTTTTATTGAAAATTAAGGAACAGTATGCACAAACAGGTATGACAGAAATAAACAAAGGAAATCTTTAAATTTTTTTTGTTGTTTTTTTTTTTTATAATTCTGGTTTGAAATGTTAGCTGCATATTAGCATTTGGTTTAATTTAAAGTGAGCAATTAAAGTTTGATGTTACAGTAAGTTGTTTACTGAGTTCTTAAGTCTAACCCCTGACCTTAGCTTCCAGAAGTTATCTTCTGTATTTTGAAAATTATTTAAAAGCACAATATTGTTTGCTGGACTCACTCTTAAACATTAAATAGACTTTGTGTATTTGCCATGTTGTATCTCTGTCATGCATCATCATACTACTACATTAACTCCTGGCTGTGTTCGAGCTAATTAAGCGAAAGAAAGGAAAAACCCATGAATCACGTGTTGATTGACAGCTGAACTTGCTTCCCTCTGCCTCAGAGAGGATTTTTCTCGGCGACATCCCCTCAGCAACAGTCAAATGATGCGTTCACGGACATTCTGTAAACATTTACTTCATAACTTATCCACGTTAAAAATGAACGCATATTCAATGAATTAGAAAAAGTACATTTATTCTACGATTAAGCAAAACTTCAGCGTATTTTCTAAACATAAAATATGTGCTTGATTTCAAAAAGTAATGTCTTTATATTTGGAAACCAAACTATTTATATCAAATTAATGCAAATTATTCCAAAGAGAAACAACGAAATCTATTATTGCCACTGTGTTTAATTAACATTGCGTTGCTGAAATAATACATATTCTCTGATCTACAGTCTTTTGTGGAAGTAGGCATGTCTAATTAAGGATATCAAGGTTTGAAAGCATTGTTCTTTCAAAACGATTCAATTGTTAGATTTTTTTTTTCCAACGCTGTATGGTGCACTGTCCTTCCCCTCCTCTACCCAAGTGAAAAAAGGCTTTTACAATTGAGCAACTAGTTTAAGTTAAATATGCTTATTGTTTTTATCAATTGTTCTTACTATCTTTGTTTATATTAAGACTCAGCTGTATCTCTGCAAAGCATCTTGTATTTTTGTTCTATAAAAGGTGCTCTGCAAAAAATGTTTACTTATTTTCTTACTAAATCAGAACAAATAACGTTATTGTAACTCAAATAATAATCAATTATATATATATATATTATTATTATGTTAACTGAAGTAAAAAAAACTGAAATAGTGGTATTGTTTCTGAAGCTTGTAATACCCTGGGAATTTCATACATTTTCTCATTTCCTATAACCTGACAAAATTAAACTATAACAAGGATTATGTGCTTTAACAAATTATCGTTTTTATAAATAACTTTTGCTTAAAAAAAAAAAAACAAAAAAAAAACCCTCCAATTATTTCTCAGAAGCGTTCTTTTTTTTTTTTTTTTCCTTTTTTTTTTTTTCCAAATTGTAAGCCGATGGCGGGAACACGTTTCTGGCTAAATGGTAAATGTCTGACAGTCGACAGGGTCCTTGAAGTATCGCTCGACTTCCTATGGCCATATTTGGGTTGGCATCGGGGGAGCGAAGGGGTGAGCATTTCGAGAGACTAATAAGGGCTTTTGTCTGTCGTCTATCTGAGGAAAAAGACCCAAACGTTGTTTTCTCATAAGTTGACTGCGTCACGTTCACAGCAAGGAGCGACGTCCTGCTGCACTGATCAGAGCTGTGATTGTAGGAACTCTGACACACGCAACCTTTGCAAAAGAAAAAAAAATATCACACTGGAAAAAACTGTCAAGAGACGCAGGTAAGATATATTTATGTAATTTGTACTTATGAAAAAATATAAACATTGTTGGTCAAGATAGATTATGCACTAGTTGTTCTTATGATTCCATAATTGCGAAATATGACCCTGAACGTGCACCTGTTGATTTGAATTAAGTTCCAGACAATTCCAAATCAGTTATTCTTGAAGGATAAAGTTCTACAAATGTTCCAGTAACAGTAAAATAATTTAAGGGACTATGTCGGGGATGAAGATTTCGTACAAAGGAATATGACTTGTCTGACAAGAAAAATATTTTTTGTTCTATATGACTGAAATATAAGCAGAAGTTCCCTGCATGTTAAACAAGAAGGTTCTACCCATGCAAACCTAATCAGCTGGTAAGGATTGACTCAGACTCAAAATTTACACATTTTTATTTATTTTTTATTTTTCTAACGGGAAATTATGCCAAGATAAGAAAAAACTAATTAGAAAACAATAAAATATGGTAAAGTGAAGAGCTGAAGATATGGCTGCAGACTGAAGACATCCTGAGTTGACTGATGCACTTGATGGCTCGTTTTAGAAGCAGTGCTATGAAGAATCCTGTGGAGGTCTCTCTCACTCTCTCTCGCTATTACACACACAGGCACACGCACTCACAGAATTCACAGCTCCAACTGTCTTACCCCAGAGACAGCCCCAGCAGTTCAGTGCTTTCAATTTACCTGTGCTGCCTGTATTGACAATAATTACATGCCCAGCTGATTAAAAGGGCAATAAAAACTATTAGGTTTCATTATTAATCAGCTGAATACAGAACAATAGAGCTTAAACTCTGCGAGCGTAATCGTCACGAATATCTGTGTTTTGCAGAAATCTTCTGTGGATCATGATTTGTCCTTCAGCACAACTCACAACTGATTTTCTTCAGAAGCAGACTGGTGCAGGTCATAGCCTCACTTCAGGCTGATCTGTGTGTCCTTGCTAATTAATCATAAGAACTGCAGAATGAATGTGTGTTCATAACTCAATAATAATTTCTTAAAACCACAGCTTCCCTGCATGTGTTGAGTCATGACAAAAAAAATGGTTATAGTAATGCAGTACAACTGGGTTGCTTTGTTCAATCTGTAATTACAGCCTGTTGAACAGTAGTATGACTTCATCACATTCTTCTTAATGTGGCATAGTGTCTTGTGGATGCAGATGGATGTTTTTGTGTAAACTATGGAGGTGGCTTTATTGCAGAAAAACTAAATGTCTGCTATTTTTGACTGAAGAGGTACTTTTGGAGTGTTATCAAGCTGACAAAAGAGTGTATTATTGGGGTATAATAAGCAAGACTTTGTGCCATTGTACTAGATGAACATTTTTTGTGTGCAACTGTCAGTGATTTTTTTTTTTTTTTTGCTTGGCTGTGCAGCAAAGGCTTTTTACAAAAGCACACAGCCATCAATTCTTGGAATATTCTCTGGCAATCAATTCTGAAGCCAAAGTGCCTGTCATGTGTCTTAATGTCGTAAGCTGCTTGCAATAGACCAGTATTGTGCTTTTTTAGCTTGTTATGGATTATGTGTTATCCACAGGTGGTTGCAGTTAAAGATCCCAGTCATGTCTGCTCTGTTTTTACATCCTTCCCTCCCTCCATTTGGAAAGCTTGTTAAGGGTTCGATGAAGACCTGACACTGTGATCCATTTAGCCTATGAGTCCCTAAGGGCCTGCCACATAATAACATTAGTGGTCATTGATAAAGCTTTTTGCTCTGTCTTAAACCTCATCATAAAACATCAGTAGCACTACAGAATAATCTCCTGAAGGTTATGATATAATTTCAATCTGTATTCCCTCTGGCTGGTGTGCGAAACACGGTCTTGAGAAATATTAAGGTCCTAAGTGAAAGTGTTGTTACATTCAATTACATAAGCTGTCTGCAACCTTTTTTTGTGGCGACTCAAAGGAATGTATTGAATTATCTTCTCCCTGGTATTTATATTGATTAAAGCTATTAAGACTCACACAAGGACACGTGTTCCTGCATGAAGCCGGTGTTAATAAATGGATGGAAAGTACGTTGAAATGATCTTTATCATTTCTGTGATTTTAGATTTTGTATGAAATCATAAACTCGACAATGAATTTCTTAGGTATATGATTTATACTGAAATATTCTCAGGAGTGCCTGGTGTACTCATAAAAAACTGTGCACCTTTCAAATCATTTGATCTTTTTGTCTGTTGAACCAGGCATCATTAAACTTGTTATTTATGAAGTGTGCATTTGGATAAACATATTATGACCAAAGGGGTTGTTTTTTCATCCTTCGCAGAATTCCATTTACCTGTATTTACTGGCTCCTTTCCCTCTACTGTTACCATAGAGACACTCCATCCCCATCAGCAAGTCGACTTTGGTTGCAGGGCTCATCGGCTCTCTTGCAGGAGCGAGTCCGGTAGGCAAGTGCCTCTCTGGTTTGACTTCGGCACCAATGTAGCGAGAAAGGCATTTACTTAGCTTTGACAGTGTTTCCCTGGAAGCCTGTGGCCCGGCCAAGGCGGCACGTCACCCCGTTTTGTCACTTTGCGTTGACGACCGAGACCGTGTGAAATCCAGCTGGGAGAAATCCACCCCTGTAATTGAAATGAGTTCACCTGGGAGACAGCTGCAGCGCCGTGCCTGGAAGCTGTCACAGTCTGTGCATGTGGAAGTGATATGAGAACCACTGAGCAGTTATCACTCGGCCTGTGACACCATTGTTTCAAAGTTGGGAAACGTTTTCACTGCAGCAAACATGCCTCAGGTATTCCAGATGCATGACATTTAGATATGTGACGAAAAGAGCATCACATATAAAGCAGAGAGCTGGTAAATAGGAGTCACTCGATGGAGCATGAAACATTGAACAGTTCACCTGCAGTGACAAAATCCACATAAATATAGCTGCAGCACAGCTTGAAGGTGGAGGTGCTTACACTCTCATGCGAGTTTTGATGAGTAGAAGCATGGATTTCTAACAATATTTGTGAAAATTTCAACTACTATCTTTGATTTTGATTTTATAATCTCAAGTAAGACTTTCTAAATTGTTTTTTATTGTTTTTTTTTTGCACTGTATATTATCTTACTTTGCATATTTCATCTGGTTTCTGTGCACCATAAAGGAGTAATTGTGGAGTTGGCACAATGCAGCAGCCTTTCATCCTGGATCATCATGCCAACAGAATATGGTTTGATGCCTCTTAAGAAGCAAACTCACCCAAAAACAAGATTTATGTGTTTGCGGAAGCTCTTTTCAACACTAACAGACAGCTGTTTTTGCTTTGCTGCCAGTTCTGTAATATAAAAAATATCTCTGATTTTCAGAGATATTTGAAAAAAAAACTTTTTTTCTAGTTCACTGTTACAAATGGCTGTAAAAACTACAGCATGAAAATGTAGTAAGGTGGCTGGATTTTGGAAATACAACTCTTTCCTGTGATCTGAAATGCGTATGGATAGTATATGGGACGTGGTTAGATCGCTGGATCACGCGTGGAATTTTACGGCTGTACTGTAAATTTTTAATGTCCAGTTGCAATGTGGGAGACGTACAGATGGATCCCTTCCTTGATCCTTCAAAGGATGAAAAGGACAGACATTTAGAATTTTGACTGCAAGTTTTACATAAAAAGCTGGTAAAACATTTTTTTATCACTTTGACATGCAATTTGTTTGGAAACTTTGGCGTTTGTTGTTGCAAACAACAAATGCTTCACTGAGACTCTGACGACAATTTAACTGTATCTTGGCATTAACATAAAACTTTCAAATAAAACTGCAAAACACAATGCAATAGCTTAAGCATTCCGTGAACTGCTTGTAGACTGAAAACTGTAGTTTTAAAAGTTTGAAAAGAGTGATCATTCAGTATTTTTCATGACTGGAAACATTTCCTAAAAAAAGCAATCCATTTTTTTCTGTAAGTATGAAAAAAGAAAATACTGCACCCTTCTTTCAGCCAGCTCACTGGTGGTTCCACATGGTCAAGGAAAGCACCAGTCTCTCCTGCATTTGTGTCTTTCATCTCCTTAAAAGAACTGTGAATCATAGAAATAGTTAAAGATTTTTTTTTTTCGTTTTTGTGTTTTTCAAACTGTGACTTTTAAAAGCTTTGGGTGTACCATAGCATGAGTAACAGCCCTAAACTCAGCTCCACATTATGCACTGAAGGCAAATTTTCCTTGGCTCAAAGCCAACCAGACACAAACTTTATGTATGATTCGAGAGGAGATGAAAAGTTTAAGGTCCTGGGTTTGAATCCCTATGTGGGGATTTTTGTATGGAGTTTTTTGTCTTTTCCTCCTGTGTACCTGGGTTTTCTCTGGCTACTCCACACTTATGGAATATTCCACTGTCTTCCTCCCTCTAAATGTATGCATATTTGGTTAATTGACCTCTGAATTGCCAAAACGTGTGTCTTGGTCATGGTCTTTGTCTTGCCCAGTATTGGATTGGCGACCTGGCCAAGCTGTATCCAACTCCCAATCCATTGACTGATGGCCATAGAGCCCTATGTCCATCAATCCTTGCATCTTGCCCCCTCCCCCCTGCACGAACCTGCAAGGATTAATCTTGTGCAGAAAATCAATGGATGGATTGATGTCTATATTGGTTCTTTGTCTGTTTTGCTTGAGAGCAGAAAACGTCCAAAGTCTGCACGTGAAATACGTCATTCCTGTGTTATATCTAGTTTTTCATTGATATTTTTTCATATTTAGAATAATTATTTTTAATTATGCAGAGAAATGAAGGTGAATAAAATAGGATGCCATAAAGCAGATATACAATCTGCTTCAAAATGTAGCATTTAGAGAACTTGCATAAGCTCAGAGAGCAATCGACAGCTTTAAAAATAACTAACGTTTAGTTATTTTGTTGTGTCTTTGTGACTCATCAGCAACCCATGGGACCTTCTTTTAAGCATCTCATGCAGGGCATTTATGCTGCTTGGTTCTAAACTGTTTATGTTGAAATTCAAATTCTAAAATACTTTAATGATCCCAGAGGGAAATTAAATAAATGTTAGAGAAGACAGAGCCTGCCAATGACTGAAGCTGAACTCAACTTATGAAACATGCACACCCCCACAGACATACATACACACTTGTTGATGACATTAATTAAGTCAGGGAATCATGGCCTGGAGTGAGAAAATTATACATTGTATCTTTAATATATATATAAAAAAACACCTTAGCAAATAATTTTATTTTTCTGTGGATATTGTCAGACTTGGATGAGAAACCTCATATTGAAATACAAGAAATATCCAGATTTAAATCCATCTGAAATTAAGTTTTTGTGACCTTCATTGGGTTTGCTTTGAGCTTGACTGAAGTGACAACATGATGAAATGACCAGAAATATAGTTATTTTAATAAATTAGCCACAGTTGCAGGTGTAAAATGTACAAAGTAAAAAATATCTTATTTTCTTTTCCATAAATATGTCTAAAATTTTCTTGAACTTCTTTTAATATTTCTGCTTCTGTATACAAAGACCCAGCAACTCATTACATCTGAGTTCTCACAAATTTATTGTGCCATCAAGGAAGTCAAGAGATATTTCAGCAGTCAGAACAAGATGTTTTTTGGGGTTTTTTTTGCTAACAATGATTTTGTCATTTCTACTTTTAAGTAGCCACTATGTGTTACTCCAAGTCACAGCTATCACAGCAAAGATTATATAAGGTATAATTTGAATATCTCCAGTTTTTCTCAGGTGAGTAACACACTGGCATTTTCATTACAGAAGAACTAAAAACTGAAAACATAGTAATGTACTGTATGCATGTCAGCCTCCTAACTAGACAGCAGACTGTTCTTTGGCTCAGACAATGATGCATCTTGTACCATGAATTTTGGACTTTCTCTGAGCCAGAACTCTTCGTGCATTCTGCTTTCCATTCTGTTGGCTCAGTGCTCCAAATGATTACACTCAAAGAGGCCAACATGTTTCATTTGCTGGATCCATTTAGTGTAAGCACTATGCTACTAAATAGGCAAACCTAAACTGTGCCATTCAAAACCAAGGGAGAAAAATGAATTAGCGTTGCCTCTAATATGGACCACAACAACAAGCACCCTCTTCCTACAAGCACACCAGGCTAATTGTCCTCAAAACCACTGACAATGCTTCATGGCATCATTTTCACATTGACGCAAAGACATAAGCTGTCATCTGTTGAAAAGAGTAACTGACTGCAAGCTTGAGTGTGCCTGGCTGTCTCTGAAAACAACTATTCCATCAATCAAATCCCGTCTCTGTTTAGACTTTGCTGCGTGTTTTTTTTTGTTTTTTGTGCGTGTTTTGTTGCTTCTATTTTTCCCTGCTGCTCGCAACTGTTGGAGTTTAAAAAGATGCAGTTAAGCAGGTGGTGCTTGTTAATAGGGCTGTTAAAACGTATTTTCCCACTCGCAGCTTTCGTCTTTTTTTCCCTTTTCTGTCCCACTAAAATGTGACAGATCATCAAACATGTTTTGATATTAGACAAAGATACGTTGAGTGAAACCAAAGTGTACCTTTCAAATGATTTGATTTACTTAAGGAATAGCCTTTCAAACCAAGATGTTGCTGTGTGATTAACCCAAATAATTAGTTGTAGAACCCATGAAATAAAATATCCAGTGTTTTTTTTATTTTACATCACAATGAAAGAATTTAGGTCAAATTCATTTTGGAGCTTTTGATTTTAATTAGCCACATTTGAGGGTTTTGAGTATGAAAAACCTTTTTTATGGTAATTTATCAGAATTTGAATCTGATTTAATTCCAGACTTTGACAAGGTTTCTTGTTTCTGATTTTTTGAGACAGGCAGAGGTAGATGTGTCGTTTGGGTGCATTTTCCTGCTGTTTAACTCGGATACTCTTGAACTTAAACTCAAACTTGATGGCTTGATATTCTCATTCAGGACTTTCTGAGAGAGAAATTCATGGTTCCACCAAGGAAGTCAGGTTATCCAGGTTCTGAGGCAGTAAGGAATCCTCAGATCATCACACTACCACCACCAAATTTCAACAGATGTAGCAGAACATACATCATTCTCAAAACGAGAGTTTAGCCATCAGTAGGCTTGTCCCGCTATTCTTTATTTCCTGGACAAATATTTGAAATTTTTAAATGTTTGGCTGTACAATAAATGTACGGTACGTTTGTATGACTGAAAACCTTGAAATCTGCACGAGCTGAATACAAAATATTTTTTGTAAAAGACTTATAAGTAGGTGTGCAGCTACAGGGACTATGATAAATTATGGTTTGTTTCAATGAAGACTGCTTGATATGAACATGCTGGTTCTGGTATGATTAAAATAATTAACTAATAATAAAAGTGAAAGCTGCTCTCAAATTAAAGTCCTTCCCTGAAGTCTTGCAAAAAAGGTCATAAGTAGGAGCTGCAGTCGAAAGGAACCTCATTTTATGTTTGCTCACAGTCCCTGTTCTGTGTAAAATGAGTTGGTGCTGTGCATAGGAAATATAAAGTTTGATTTCTATGCATGTTCTATTGTTACATGCCGCTCAGAGAATATGACAAAATGTTCTGTTGTATAAAACATCTCTGTTAGGAACAGTTTGTTCCATTCCTCTGTGTAGAGTAGGGACTGTGAGGTCATATGATTTGGACATGCTTAGAGGACTCCAGGAAGCCAAAATGAAAATTCACTTTGTGGCAAGTGGTTCCGAGTACGCCAACTCTGTCTCTGAGAATTGCTTAGCAACACATTGCCAATCTCTCTGAGGTCGCCTAGTAGGCTCATGTTGCTGTCACGATAACCCAAGAATAACTTTCTCTGCAATGATTGGATGACATTTGAAAAAAAAAAAGTTCCCTTATGTTGGTAAATAAGATAGAAAATAATTATTTACTGTGTTTTTTTTTCTCTAAATATGTCTTTTACCTGTGTTTATAATAGAATTTATGTTTATTTTTTGTCACCCAAATCTAATATCTGTAGTCAACATGTGCATAGTTAAGAGGTTTAGGTTTTTTACAATAACATACTTTCAAAAGCTATGGCTTTGAAAGTGAATAACTCAAGACATTCACTTTAAAAAATCATATATTACCCTCTGGTAATGGTATGAAGATTAACTTAGACTGAAAAGTAAGAGATGCACAAAGTTAACAAGCGTCCTTCTTAAGCTCAGAAGTTTCACAGATATCACTAGAGTCTGTTTGCACAAGATATGTTCAATCAAATTTTAATTATCCTTTAATAACATCCAGTAATTATATCTATGTACATATAGGATTAACGTGTCATTTCCTTTATGTTTTCTGCATTTTCTCAAAACAAACCATATGCCAAAAAGCTTTTCCATTAACTAATCTGGGCATGTTACTAAATACAATTTTAAGGTGACTTTTTAAATTATATGTTTCATAAAAATGGCAACAATTATTGCTTTAGAGTGGCTCTTTATTTTTTAAGCTTTTCAAGAATACATATAAGTATATATTTTAAAAAAATATTTTGAACGTGCAAATTTATATAGTCTTGAATCTTGGGGTTGAGAGAGCTAAAAAAATATATTATTAATGCTCTACTCAGTTAAAACATAAAAACTGAAAGAATCTCAACCTAACTTTTTGTATTAATTCTTTCAAATGAATTAAAATAAATGTCTAGTCAGGCTGATGTTTAATTTTTGTCATTGCCAGAGAAACATGACGACACTGCTTGACCTGAAGAGTAGTGTGCTAAGGCAGGTCCAGAGGAGCCAGTCTCTGAGGACTCGGAGGGAGGCCCCGCCCACTGCCAGCAGTCCCCTCACACACTGTCCTACGGAGCCTTTACCTCGCAGGTGAGTCACTGTTGATCATACAAATGTACACCTACACAAAGAATATGTAAAAAAAAAATGTCATCCTTTCATCTCCTGGTTTTGAGTGAGGACAACCTCAGATAATATTTACGCAACATGACAAAGCTGAAATTCAAAAGTAATGTGTAGAAAAGCTCCTAAACTCTTGAGGACATCTTGTAGCAATGATAATTTTGAGGTAATTGCCTTCTATCTTAAATTGTGGGAGAATTTTGACCTTTGTTACTTCACAGGTATTTCTTTATGTCCATTTAAATGACAACTTATTGTAATTTTAAATGTACTCTTTTTATAACACCTTTGAGTTCTAGTTTTATCATTGTAATATTCATAACTTTTACATTTCATGCACTAAGTGATTCCAGGATGACTGAGTGTGTATCATTGTATTATTTATTATTTTTTTTAACTTTATTTTTTTTTATTTTTTTTGCAATTTATGTTCATATAATACAATTTGAACTAAACAGTAACACTTTTGCAAAATACATTGGTAAGAAGACTGACAACTGAATTTATTTTCATTTGCAAATAATGTTTTTTTCTGTGAAATGATGGATCCAGAACTTTCCACACTGATAGGTACAACAGATTTTCGTTTTTAATTTGAATCATTGTTGCTGTTGTCTTTGCTTTTCAACATCATAGTAACAGACACTTGAATGTTCCAATCAAACAAAAGGACAAATCTCTTGCTTTTACATATTTAATTGAAGTTGATGATATTCAGTGTTTTTGATCGAAAACACCTGACTGAATCATAAACCTTGCTTAACATTGAACGTAAGTGTTCAGTCTGTACAAATCCATATTACTTTCTCTAAAGCTGCAAGCTACTGCTTGAATTATTATTTGCTTGATTGTTCCCATTACGGATAAGTAATAGCTTTGCTTATGAGATTCTTTTTTTGTGAAACTACAGCGCGGTCAAGGTACCTCAACAGATAATAACATGTCTTCAGAAATGGCAGAAAAAGCTCTGAAGTAATAATTCATGTTTGCTATTCATTTGTTTTCCACTGGCTGTGTTGCCGAAGCTACGGGTCATAATTTCTTGCTGGCACAATGTGATGATATATCACATTTATACCTAAGCCATGGCTCACTCTGAAAAAGCCATCCAGACACAGACTTCCCCCCTGTGACACATTAACCACACTGTTACATGCACAGACAGGCTCTTCAGGGATATAAATGCTGCTTGCTTGTAAAGCAGCTTTAAAACGTGGTTCTGATGTCAAAAAGCTTCCTGAATTTATTTCAGTGATAAAAAAGGCTTCTCAGATTAGGGAGTAGCTTAGCAAACCACTATCATTTTCAAATTTCCCTCAGGTGTACATTTAATTATTCCGGTCATGACTCTGCCAACTTGTTTTGTTTGAGGGGATCTTTCAATAATTCAAGTTGTTTCAAGAAAAATTTGGATTTTTTAGGGTCTAAACTCAATCCTAACTTCATGATAATTCAGACTAGAAAGGCAGAGAGTATTCTCCATTTCCATGAACACAACAGACCACTAGTAGCATGATGTTCTATCTCGACAGTTTCTACTGTGCTAGTTATTTTGTCGGCCACTTATGTTACTGAGAAAGCTTAAATCTAATTATAATACAATTCTCACTTTAGATTTTTGTAGTCCGTGATTTGGCCTCAAACTATTTTAAGTACAGAGAACTATGGGAAAACAGCTTAGATTGATTAGGCAATGACTGGTGCCTCGTTACAAAGTATACACTTTCTTAAAAGTTAATATTTCACAAAAACAGATTTCCCAAATTTCAATGCTTTTAATGAATTTACAAGGGTAGTAATCAGGGAGGAATGTCAAAGGGCTGACCAAGGACCCAATGGGCATGCACTTCACAAATAAGCAGTGTATGGCAGAGCAGCTGAACAGACATGGGCTGCTTGAATTTGACCAGAAAAAATATTAGAAATCATAAAACCAGGACAAAGAAAGTTATCTGATTTGATCAAACCAATAGAAAATCTTGTGTTTTGAACCTTAACACGATAATATTTGTAATACCTTCATATTTTGACGACAGATGATTAGCGACGCTGTAGTTGCCAAAGATAAATTTACCTGCATTTTGTATCTTGATTGAACATCAACCTCAATGTTGACTTACATTCTATCATTTCTTATATTTTTGCATCTCTATTTGCTTTCCTTTTGGCCAGTGGAGGGGCAGGCAGCATAGTTCTCACCATGCGGTTTGATATGATAACTAATGAAGTCTCTCAGGTGAAAAGAGTCATCTCATATTTTCCAGTCTCATTCTGAGCTTCATCTCAACCCAAAAGTGATAGTGTGAAGCTGAGGTTTCTATGGCAACCCAAATACAGGATGCTGTCACAACGTGAACCTTTACTTATAAAGACAACTACATCTATTTTTTTACCAGGGAAGTTTACCGCAGTTATGTGTTGCATGAAGTTACATTTGGGATTTGAATGATTAAAGCTCGGCATACATGATAATACATGATTTGATTTATTTTCTTCTTATTATTATTTAATCCAGTGTCATTTTGTTTTATTTATTCTGTTTTAATGCCGCTCAGATGTGGTTTGGAGTTCTTCATTAGCAGCTGATAGGAACTGACAGACTATGTCTCACCTTCTTCTCATTTTCCGTACCAGTTTCCTGGAGCTGCAGCTTTCCCACTGAGCCTCAGCCTGAGCGCTCATCATTAGATCCAGGCTGTTGATCTTTGTTATCCATTCAGACTGCCGCTGACCTGCCTGCACTCTCACTCTAATTGAGAATTTGCAAATGAGGCCGGGTAGATTTAGACTGCTTCGTTTGCAGCTGTTGACCCAGTGGTAGAGTCAGTCGTCAGAGCTGAGGCTCTCTGAGTAGACAGTGACTGGCAGACAGAGGACATAAATATTTAATTCAGTTGAGCACATTATTGGTTTTACCTCTGTGAGAACTGATCGTTAAATCTCTAGAAATGTAAAAAAAAAAAAAAAGAACTTAACTCGGACGTGAGCTGGTCAGACTGTGGAGAAAAACCCACAGGATTTATGTTTGATTGTATATTTCTGCTGGTTATTTACATGTTTAGTCTTCCCTCTGATTGCTTTCAGCAGTGGCAAATGTGATTTTTCACACTTAATTTGCTTTTGTTTTAAATCAGAAACTTGCGGCAATGTCTTTAATAGCTTTGATTCCTTGTTGTTCCTGTACGGAAGCTATTACATCTTAATATTATAGAAAATGAATTAAAACGTTGTTAACTAGGAATCCTGAATATATCACATAGTTTACATAGTTTTACTCAAAAGCTCATTTATAAATTATTATTCCTCATGAAACCAGAGTATTAAAAAAAGTTGTTTTTGAAATTTAAGTCAAAAGTAAAACTTACATATTACATAGCAGTTATGGAAACCCCAGAGTGGGGTTTGATGATGAATTGTCAATGATTTGGAAAGCTATGTCCTCTGGTGGAGTTTTATGTTTCAGACAAAGTAATGTGATTTTTCTATTGTAATTCAGTGTAGTAGTTCACAAACTGTCTTTGTATCGTGCTTAGGCACGATACAAAGACAGACAGAATGACAAAATTGACATTCTTAAATTAACTTTGTGGTTAAACAACCTGGAAGGCATTAATCGAGAGTAAAGCTATTTCCAACAGAAAACTGCATCTCTCTGACACTGTCCTTTACTGCATTTGGGTTGTAGCACCAATTTGCCAATAGTAGCATTTTGAAGATGCTGTGAGTCGTCTAGACGTTCAGATCTTTGTTGAGCCTGTTTCATCGTTCATGTGGTGTTCTTCAAACACTACTTAGAATGAATCCCACTGCTGAGTATTCACTCACAAATTTAATTACAAGGCTTCCTCGTTTGTGGAATCACAGTAATTTTTAAGCAATAGAGGTATTACAAGATGTCACGCAAGATGTCACAATACAAAAGTACCACAGTGTTTCTCAAGAAGCTCCAACTTTGAAAGCTTTATATCTGAAAACCAAAAGGGAAGAATAAAAATTACAAAACATAGATGACAGTAGTTAAAACTGAAAGAGTAATAAAATAGAAAGAATCAGAGATTATCTGCTCGCCTCTTCTGTGTTTAACCTTTTTATATTGTTATTATTTTGGCACAAAAATATAATTGTCAAGTTACTGAATGGAGAGATGTAATTAGAGCTTTTGTGGTTGTTCTGGGTTTTCCACCTGTAATGTTTTGCTTCTTAATCAGAGACATAATTACAATAAAACAGTCTTTGTATCACTGAGGTTGATCTTTGCCGTAGAGATCTTGTTTATGATGCGAGTTGCAGGCTTATATAGTTTCACAGCCATTGATGAAACCAATTTTTAGAAAAAAAAAGGATTTTATTTTGTTCCGATCCAACTGGATGTTGCATTCTTTGTCATGCTTGGGGTAACAGTAATGGGTACAAAACTAATCATCATTTATGCAAGGGCATGGTATGTTTAAGTTTGCAGAGAGCGCATGCAGTCCCCATCATACACTCATTTAGAGGTGATTGAAACAATTCTTTTAAATAGAAGACTTACCTGGGATTCACATTTTCAATTTTTGCTTTGCCTCTGATTCTCTCTCTTCAGAGGAAAACATGATTGAAGCATCTGGATGAATTTTAAAAATAAATTAGAACTTTTTTTTCCTCCTTTTTTTAAAGACTTGTTTCCTAGCAACATCAAATCAATGTTATTCTGGTTATGCTGGTGTGTTTGTGTGTCTGTATGTGAGAACAAAGAGAGAAAGACAGATTGAAAAACGCATTTGAAATGTGTTTATATATAAGTATAAATGTGAAATCAAAATAATCTGTGTGCATTTTAATCAGTAAGGTTTTATTTCCTACCTGAAATATATTGCCTCCCATTCAAAAAGAGACAATCTTCAGGCTGACCGCCAGAGACGAGACAACAACAGTTGAACACAACAAATGAACACAGTTGTAGAAAAAAACCAAGTGGCTCACAAAATATTTTATGTGTAAATTAAAACCCTAAATACCAAGGAACCAACTTTATAATGAGCAATAAGTGTGCATGCAACTTTTTCATATAGTAACCTCTCCAAGTTAAATCCTAAACCTCTTTGCTGAAGTGACAGCTGCAAAAACCTATTTAAATATTTTTCTCTAAGAGTCTTCTAATACTTACAAAATATTGGGAGATAACCGATAACCTCACTCCTCAGATATGTCATCATGGAGGACTTGTAATTTTGTCTAAACTTTCTTAATTAAATGTGTTCACTACTTTACTCAGAACTGGTAGCTACATGCATCCTGGCTTTTCCAGTTTAAAGTAAATAGCTTTTAAGTTTTTAACATCTTACAACCATAATTAAAAAAAACAAAAAACTTTTGATTGTCAGTTTTACATGCCAATAAACTCATAGTGGACTGTGAACTACACAATCAGTGGTTTAACATATATTCTGACAAATCACAAGATCATTTACTCACCTTAGTCACATTTTCAAGTTACTTATTAGATAGCGTACATTCCAATTAATCCTAGTTATATTTGACTTTGTTTCAAACATCTCACAGCTACCTTTGAATCTTTTTCATTCATTAATACAGTTCACATCCTTGACTGTTGCACACAGTGCAAGCTAATAGCGTTTATTATTATAATAGCATTTACTGATTGAGAAAATCCTTCTTTTTTTTTGGGTCACTCATGAGAGCTGATCAGGATAAAAATAAACCAATTCTAGTAAATTGACAATTTGTTGGAAACCCAGTAATTGTTTCGTACTATAATAACTGTGAGCTATAATCCCACTAGCTTTAATAGATTTATATGTACAGGAAATTCGAATTAATCTGTCACTTTGTCTAATAAACATCAGACATTTCACTGTGTATTTGGCCTGACATCAGTGAAAATCCTCCCAGTTCTGCCAGCATGCCTTCTATTAGTCTCCATAAACACCATCACGGGTTTACCATCCGCTCTCCCACCATGCTGAAAGTCAGTGGGTGCTGGGATGGGCTGCCATATGCCTGCTGCGAAGTGATGACGCTAATAAAGAAGGGAGTAGGGGCTCTTCTGCACAGTGTTGCCTGATAGATGAGGAAGAAGACAGAATCACAGTGGGAGGGGATAGTCAGGATGAGGAGTTAAAAAAAACAACAAAAATTCACAGCCAGAGTGATTGTGCCGGTTCTGCTACAGCTCACATCAGGGCGGTTGTCTGTTATTTCCATACCACCTGAGAGGAAGGTACCCCTTGAGAGATTTGGGAGGGGGAGAGGTCAGGGAGAGGGTGGATTTATTGGGGATTCCCAAGGTGTTCAGCCAGCTACCCTTTTTCTGAACATGCCTTCATCACCATGACAACTGCGACTAGCAGGAGTTTTGGGATTCATTCCCACCTGGAGGAAACAGAAAAGCATCATTTGCATATTGGGCACAACCCGACATATAAAATTTGATTAACATGCTTCATGCAGAGAGCAACTGAAAGCCTTCTAATGCTAGACAAGAGAAGGTGCTTAAACATCTGATAAAACACAGAACTGCAGGAGAGGAAGTCCTGTAGCACATAAAACTTGATCAAAAAATATCATGTATTGACAAACCCTGATCAAAATGTGTGTCAACAAGACACTGTTTGATTTCACTAGTGTCACTGAACATGGGTGTGTGTTCACCTAAATGAATATTTCATAAATATTCATGAGCCAGGTGATGTAGCCTGTTTAGGTCAACCTGTGTAGTTCGTCCTCTTAAGAGAAGTTGTAGAAAGAAGAACAGTTTCTCATTTTGCTCCACTTTCTTGGCAGGATTTCAGGGGAAAGTGCGGAGTTCTTTGAGCGTATGAATGCCATCCTGCAGAAACAGGAGAACATGACGCGGGCAGCCCAGGCTGAGGTAACCCCAACCCAACTTCCACCTTTCCATCTGTTACACATTTGAAACGTGAACAGTTTGTGTAGCCAGCAGGGCACAGAGCTGTCTTTCAGCCCACCATCATGACCACTATGACGTCCACAGACAGAAGGACTGGGTTAAACAGGGTGCTCAGAAGACTGGGTGCTCAGCTGTTGCAAGCTGCTGTCGACTGATATGTTCAGACTTTACTGGCAGAGCAAGACATGACTGATGAAAGCAGCTCATGACTTCACACCCAAATTGCTGCATGTTAACACAGCAAAATGACACAAATGGAAACCGTCAAAGTTGGTCAAGACGTGAATCACATCCACACTGCTTTAAAAATCGACAAACTAAAAGAAATTAAGTTTCTATTTGTCGTTGTGACATTAAAATTTAGTGGGATTTCTTTCTTCAGTTTTTAACATTCATTAAAAATTACTTTACTCAATAGTTTATGCTGTTTTAAAGATAAGCATTACTTCACAAAACTGTGATTTGTTTCTCACTTATGTATTATGTAAGAGTAAATAAATCTCAACTGTATACACTATAACCCTTAAACCTTATAATAATTTTAGTGTCAATGTAAACATCTAAATAAGAACAATGTAACCTTGTATAGAGAATATCAGCCAAGCTCTTATTAATTGTGAATACAGCAGGTAATTTTCCATACAGTTCTGAAGTCCATGCCGATGACATTTACATCTCCTTAGCCCTTTCTGATTGCTTTATTGTGTTCGCAGAGCAACCTTTGTGAAGTATTTTCACTTGACTTAAGTAATGCTTTCCAATATCTGACTGCAGCCTCAGCTTCTTCTCTGATGACCAGCAGAACCTTTTTATCAGAGCCTAAACTGAATTTGTCTCCTTGCAGTGCCAAAGAGGGCCATGCACAATGCCTCCACCACAAGAGCATGTGGACCAGGGCTTTATATCTGAAAGGGTCAGCAGGACAGAGGTGTGTTGCCTTGTTTTTTGCTATTTCCATTGTGTTTCAGCAGGAGTTATGTTTTAAAAGACGAAAAGAGGGGAAAGAAATGTGGCTTTTATCCCTGCTTGTGATGTGCAGCAGAGCAGAAATCATGTAGGGAAAAGAACTCGTGCATTTGTCCCTGAAAGGAAGTTATTGAGTGGAGTGTGTTTTCATGTAGCTGGATCTGCTTTATGAGGAAGCTGTGTACACGGTGGTCAACAGGGTTGGTGTGCCTGCTCCAGAACATGTGAAAAGTGACGACGAGCTGTTTGCTTACCTGCTGAAGGTATCTGTATGTGTGTCTGCCTTTCTGTCTGTCTGAGTGTCCTGTAATAATCACAAGCACAACCATAGAACAGACTGTGTTCCTGTAGCTTCATTAAATTTCTGTCAGTAACACTGATGGTGGCCTCCCAGAGAGTGTTATTTGTTGTGAGGAGGCTGTAAGAATTCAAGCAGATGCTCTTGGCTCAAAACTGATTAAACATCAAAGCCCAGTTACACTTTGGACTGATATTCAGCTGTGATTATGCTGCACTAAGGATTGTAGCCTTTTGACTGTCTGAAATGGGAGTCCTATTTCAAAGGGTTTCCCAACAGTTCACATACTAAAGAAGCAAGAAACAGTGTAAAACCATAGTAATGTTCAATAATTTCTTTTTTGCAAAAGAATTAGCAAACATTACTGTGACATGTAACTACATAAAGATAATTGTATGAACATCTTGTTCAAGGTGTTTGACATGGGTGATGAGGAACATGAGATCATTCTTCAAAAAGTTCAAGAATCAAAGGTGAGGCATTTTATTCTGTCGCCTTCTGAAACTGACAATAGATGTATGTTTTTTTTCTAAAGAATATTTTAAATTTTTCCTCAGTTGTTAGGAAACCAAATCTTGTCACCCAGTTCAAAGTTTTTTATCAACCTGAGCTGTCAATAAAATAGGGAAACAATTATTTCCTGTTTTACTTCATAAAGACAATCTCAAACATAGATTTACTAGGATACATGTTTTTGCTGAAGATTATGGCTTTTTATTTCTGAGGAAAGAGACTTTCTCCTTCACTCAGCTGCGAAACAAGACAGCACTCCTCGAAGAGGAGCAGTTACTGCTTTGTGTCTGTGGATGTGTTTTGCATGAATGATGCCTTTTGGAACCCACAGTGCAAGCAAACAAAAGCAAAAGAGAAGAGCTAAATTACAAGGTTCCAGCTAAATAAGTTATGGAGCGAGAAACGCATCAGGCCTACATGCCTGTAGAGGTTTTTTCGCCAGACAATCTCACATGAAAAAGCAACTGCACAGCACTTTGCATGATGGATTGCAATTTGAGATGAAATACCGCATTTTGATAGTGAGGTTTCTGATTGCACACATACTGTACATATTTGTTAAAGTCTGTAGCAGTAATGCACTGACAGCCTAGTTAATCCGGCAGAAATTAAAACCCGGATGAGGTTAAATTATATAAGTTGAACAAAACTTTTTCTTAACTCAAGCTTTCCCAAATACCACTCCTTGCTAAACTGAAGCCTTATCTCTGTTTTGAATCTGTTCAGTCATGCAAGAATTTGAGTAAATGCACTCTTCCTTCCCAGCACATACTGATATTCTCATCACCACCTTTCATTCTCAGCATTAAAGCTGCTTGTTGGTACAGGTTTTTTTAAGTAACAAATATTTCTTTCTTACAGCGAGCCAGTTTTTCCTTGAGAGTCTCTGTTATGAAAGCAAAGAGCCTGATGGCCAAGGATGCAAATGGTAAAAACATTAAAGCCTGAGCTAAGTATTTTCTAATGGGAAACAATGTGTTTCATGAAATATGCTTTGTCCTGTAGTAAAATGTGACTGAAATGCTTTTTTACTTGACTTCTTTGGATTTTCCCTCCTACCCCCATTCACAAGTGCTTCTTAAAAGGTTTCTGAGTCATTTTGACTATTAACAATGAGTCACTGCAGGACTGTAAGAATTATTTTCAGTTGCCGATTTATCTACCTAAATGGATGGATAAAAAAAAAAAATTGTTTATTCCCTTCTCTATGACAGGGTACAGTGACCCCTACTGCATGCTGGGAATCCTGATGGGTCAGAGCCCTCGAGAAACTGAGGAGAAGAAGGAGAGAAAATTCAGCTTCAGAAAGAGGAGGGAAAAGCTGGAGAAACGCTCTAGCACCAAAGAAGTTTTACCTGCCAGATGCATTCAGGTGACCGAAGTCAAGCCAGAGACTCTAAACCCAGTGTGGGATGAACACTTTGTGTTGTGAGTACAAGAAAAACCTTTAAGCTTTCTGAAACATGCTGTTCATGGCAATAACTGTGTCACATGCAGAAATCACGCTTTCATTTGTTTCACACTAACGCCTCAAGTTGTTATTTGTATGACCAGCTCACCACATATTCACTGCTGTGAGAGCAGAACCGAGGTGTTTAATGTCAATCTTAGTGATGAAGAGGATCTAAAGCCAATGTGTTGTTTTCTGTTTTTTCATCTGTTTTTAGTGAAATAGACGATGTTCACAATGATCTCTTGCATCTGGACATATGGTAAGTTGAGAACACAAGCAAAGCTGCTACAATGTAATTCTTTGCATATCAGTTTTTTTCTCATTTTAAATTGAGGGATGTCAAAGGAAATTTGATTTACTTTGTTTGAAATGAAGTTCTGTCTTAATTTAAAAGTCAAGAAAATAAATAACATTATCGCCTCGTTTTTAATTGAACTTTACCATTATTCTATAGGTGTACAAGTCTGAGACAGTGTAACAGACTGCCTTTAAGCATGTTGAACTATTTTTAAGCAGTTTTCACCCAAATCTTCTGAACTGGGGATGTAAAAGCAGAAACGATCTGCCCCTGCATGCCTTATGGAGTCAGCAATGAAACTAGACGGATACACTTACGTAGCCAGTTTCCTGCCTGACCCAAAGAGGGTGATGTTGAGTTTCTTTCAGTGAAACTTGGCTTCAAAGGTTAGTTTGAAGTTTTTGCAGAGTTCTGATGGTATCTGTAGATTGACACTCCATTGACACTCAATTGCATGTTAGCTTGGACCATGAAATGGTTTTATTTACTTTTTTAAGTAAAAAAAGTAAATAATTTGCACTTTTGTGATATTTGCACTTTAAGTAAAAGGAACTGATGCTAACAAATGCTTCACTGAGCAAGGTTTTATAGAACTCTATGCTTTAAAAACAACTTTAACTCCAAGTTTCCATCCTGCCTTATGTATCCTGACTACACTATCAATCATGCTTACTTAACCAGCTTCATCAATGCAAACAAGATCATTCCATTCCTTTCACATGAAGTGCACATTCCCTTTTTTCCATTTAAGAACCAGAATAAGGCTTAGCGAGCCTAGCCACTTCACACATTTTATGACAAGAATGTGAACACAGTGCTTTCTTTGGTCCTACAGTGTCTGGGTAAGCCTGCAAAAAGCTATCCTGGCACTCCTTGTACCTGTTACATACGTGGACAATGTCCCCTCAGGAGAACATGACCGCAATATTTCTTTGTATCCACAAAAAGTATGTGGACAAGACAGGTTCCTGATTTTAAGAGAAATTCATGCAAAAAATTACTTTATCCTGGAATCCTGAAACACTTGTTTGGTTAAGAAAGGTCGTCAACAAATGTGGTTGATGTGGTTTTGTAGTCATTGTAGTGACTATTAGAATTTGTTCAATTTAATATTTCAATTATTCATCACAACTCTAGGACAGACACTTCGATAACACTTTACAAATAAGTGTTTTTTTTTTTTTTTGGTAGTTGCTTTTTATTTGTTTAGGGAATGGTCATGAATTACTTATTTGTAGCATTTTTGCATTTTATTTTATTTTTTGTGGCAATTTTGGACAATATGTACACTTCTTATTTGAAACTTGTTCCTACTCAGACAGTAGAAGTCGCTCAAATTCATTCTATTCGACGCGTCATTTACTTCTCAGTTCTCCTCATGGTAAATCAAAGTGAAACAGTAAAGTAGAAGAAACCCAACCTTATGCTGACCTGTGAGTAATTTCTTTTTCTGCAGGGACCATGATGATGATGTATCTGTTGCAGAGGCCTGCAAAAAGCTCAATGAAGTCAGTGGGCTTCGAGGAATGGGCAGGTGAAAAATTTACCAGTTTACAACACTGTAAAAAAAAACTATTTAGATTTAAACATAAAAAGGCCTTTTTTAAAACAATGTTTTAAATAATATTCTGTTTAACTGGTTTTATTTGACAATGTGGCTAATCAAGGTCAACTCATATTTTAACATTTATGTTAAAATATGGTCAGATTGTCCTGAATAGAGTTTTTTTAACTCAAGTTTTGTATTGAAATCTGTTCAGTGTATCTACTAAAAGATGGTAAATGTCTAGAAGGCCTTTTTTCTTTGTGACTATTTCTGTTTACTGGTTGTTTTGATGTGTAAAGATGCAACAGGTCCTGATCCTGTGTAAAACCTGATGTATAATTGGTTCAGCAGTGAATTCATCCAGTCAGTATTGCGGCAGTAAACGGAAGACAAATTAAACCCATCACTTTCATGTGAAAAAGGCATGAAGTGGCCGTTATTGAATGAAGAGGCCTTTGTATCCATTTGCTTTAAAAAACTAACTATGTTCTGCTTGTTGATTCCACAAAACCATTTGATTTTTATCCTTTGAAAGGCGGTCACAGAAAAGCCAGCCGCCCATAAAGCTGTGCACACAGACAGTAGAGCCTGATGAATAGCAGACATGTCTAATGAAAACCTCCGAATGTCAATCACAACCAAGGGACCAGAGAATCATTTGCTCATGGAGGCAAGATTTTAATTTCAAGTAATAAAACCGGAAATTATTATTTTTTTTCTTTCCAGGTATTTTAAGCAAATAGCAAAGTCAGTGCGTTCCAATGGCTCAGCGTCATCGGGGTCTGAGGAGAATGTTGACGACTTCCTCGGATGCATCAACATTCCTTTGAACGTGAGCGGCGATGTCTGTCCAATCAACATGCAAAGCTACTGCATCAAAACATGCAAAATCAAACTGGGAACAAACTGGAAACTGACTATTTCTTGCAGGAAGTTCCTGTTGCTGGATATGATACCTGGTTTAAGCTGGAGCCACGGTCAAGTGCATCTAAAGTTCAGGGAGAATGTCACCTTATTCTGAAAGTCTTCACTAGCCAGGTTTCTACAGGACGTCATCCATTAAATGTGCACCTGTCTATTCATGCATCCTCTAATACATGTTTTACCTTCAGAGAGACACAACTTTATCAAAGAGGGACACAAATGTCTCCATTCACAAGAAACTTTTGAGTCAGATTGTGGAGTACGAGCATGCTCAAGTTAAGGTAAGATTTCTGCAAATTATTTGTTCAAATATGTTATATATAAAAAATGTAAGGTTTTGGAATGGCCTAGTGAAAGTGCAGACCTAAATTAAAGATTTTGTGGCATGGCGTCTCATGGGTCATGCAGCTTTTATAGGTAGAATTTTTCATACTAACTTAAATCATGATTTATTAAAAACTACTTTTTATCTACACTCTTGTTATATTTGCTGAGTTTCAAATAGGTTTAATAATTTCTAAAATTTAAGCACAACAAAAAAGCAAAAACAGAGCAATTCTGTAATGTACTGTTCATTACAACAAGCCGTTTAATAGTATTCTGCAAAGGTGTTGATTTCTGATAGGTACTTCCTCAACCGATATAAAAAAGAACCACAGACAACATTTATTTGTTTCAACCAAGCTTTTGCAAAAGCGAGAAGACACAGTAACCCAGGCATTTCTGCCTGCCTGGCAGAAACCGGCCCGTAAGAAGCCAGCCTGGCCTCCACCAGCTGTTCAGTTCACCGTGCGTTCTGACACTCTGCTTCAGAGCTTGTCTTTTATTAGCAAAAGAAACAAGTGAGTGGAATGTGGGAGAGTGATCTTAAAAGATCGGGGGTATTCTGATAACAAGGAAAGGAGAAGCACAGAAACTACATTCTACACAGAGACAGTTTTACAAGTGAGGAGTATCTCAGGAAGTTCTCCTAAAGGAGATTAAGACACCACCTGCAAAAACATGCTCGAGGTCAAGGACAGGTCAGTTATGTCTTTCACACAGTTTAAGAAATTCTCCCTCTCTGAGGTGAGAACACTAAACCAACCTTTAAATATAAACTACTAATAATATAAATTAGTAGAAATATGAAACAGAAATATGAGAAACATAATAATCTAACAATTACATAATTCTTATAATCTAAGAAGAAAATCTTTGTCATACGCTTTTAAATTGGTCTTGATTAACTCAAATTAGGTTTATGAAGGTCTTTTAAATGTTTTCTATGGATTTTGGCTGCTGTATCACCTGTTTTCATTTTGATCTTTCGTCATCAAAACGGCATACTTTGTCTTTTTGTCATAAAATCCTACAAAATATTAACTGAGAGATGATTTAACTAAGCTAAATATCTATTTTGTGTCAGGTCCTTTTAGCTTTCTGAGACAACACAGAAATTGTATAAAATTATGTTGCCTTTCTCACTCATCTAAGTAGATATCATTGGTAAAGACTGCATGAAAAAGACCCAAATAATTTTATTTTGTATTTTTTGCAAGTTATCTTTTTAATGGCTTATGCCTTGTGTGTGGGAGCCTTTTATGTCTGATACATTCATAGGTCTGAGTTAAGTGCCTTCACAATTAAAAACGAGAAAACATTCCTGTTAAAGTGATGATGAAGTTAACCAAAAAACTTGAAAGAAAACGAAACCAAAGACCTTCAGAAATCCTCGAGACCATTTTACAAGATTAATATTAAAACTGTTTCTACTTTTATAGTCAGGCTGGTGCTATTTTCCAAAACCAGCCTGCACAGACAGTAATGTCTTTCCCCAGGTTGTCTTTGATGAACATGGTCAGCTACTCTACTGTGAAACAAAAGAAGGGAACTTAGCTTTCTTTTTTTTTTTTTACCTTTACACAAAAACTATTAGTATGCATGTTCTTTTTCTTCTTTACTTTATTTTCTGTAAACTCTCTATATTTATATTTTACAGCTGTGCTCTAAATCTGAGTCATCTTACCTCTGAGTGCTTTAAACCGAAGATGAAGTCCTTGTTTGTGTACACAATCTTGGCCAATAAAATGATTCTGGCTAGATATGTATTTCAGTTTGGAAGAAAAATATTCAAAGGTTATGGATTAGTATGGATTTTGTCTTTTATGCTCATATCTTCATAAAATCAATAACCTGATCTCTTTATTGAGATAAAACATGCCTAATAAGTTCTTCTCAATCATCAGTATTTGTTACAATGGAGCTGATCAATTTATTGCTGTATGTGGGCTGTACAATGGCTGCTGGAAAAGACAAGTGTTTTAGCATTTTGTCTATTATTTTTAAATGTTAAAATATCAGTATTAAAATTAGAAACCAAAGAAGGCTCATCTTCTTATGCTTCTGGGTCTGATCCAGGGGCAAAGATGTACGGTTGTACAATTACACAACAGTTTAAGGCATTTGGACGTGTTTAAAGGCCAAGTGTAAATAACGAGTTGGGAGGGCGTGACCAGCAACAACTTATTTGCATCAAAGTGGGAGATTCCTAAAACAAGTCAATTTGAAAGAATTAAATATTACCTGTGAATGATTTTGTGCAAAAATGTTGAGCATGTAAAACCCATAAACTTGCCAAAGCTTGTTTAAAAAGATTGGTTAATGTTTTCCCGTTAAACTTTAATTTGCTGAACTGAACAAAGCTGTTCCACTGGTTATGATTTTGCTGCAACCTTTCTTGGAGCTAACAGCTTCTCCCTTTTATGATTTAAGTGTTGTAATTATTCTGAAGTGACAGATGCTTTTTGTTCTACATTGGTATGAGACCTTGGTTAGTATTTAGATGTTTGTAACAACTCACACACAAACATCATCTGTTTGACAAAAAAGCATCTTACTTTGCATAATATGTGAATAAAATTACATTGTCACTCTTTTAAAACCCCAGAGAGAGCCTTACAACTGGAATGGACAGGTTTCTCCTCCAGCATGGACTGTACTAACTCACCATGCTGTGCAAACTGATCTCTCACCTCTACAGCAGGCTATTGTGTAGGTATTAATGACAAAATTACATTGATTAAATTAAGTATGAGACCTAAAGCATTTGCCTGCAAGGTGCATATTTTCTTTTGTTTTATGCAGGCGCTGGCAGTGCTACAGCAACCATCATCGGAACCAGAGGCTGTGCTACTCCCTGCTGCTGCGCCTCCTGAGGACCATCGATGCAGAGTGGGACCCTCCCACCGTGAGGGGAGACCTGGTAGGTTCTACATTATCGGCTTCCCAATAGGGGAAAAAAAAAACAAACAAAAAAAATTCCATCGCCTAGAAACAGTCACCTCATTAGCTCAGCCCTTCACTGGCATTCATCAAGGTTTTTGGTTCAGCCAAAAATGTCCCACAGCCAGTGTACTGGAAGCTATAACTGAGGGCCCTTCCTGTGTCCAGGAGAGGCAGCTGTCAGACAGCTTCAGACTGTACACAGAGCACTGCCTGTGCCTGATGAAGAACATGCGTCAGGTTTTCCCCTGCACAAGCGCTGCTGCCATTACACGCTACGAGCTCATGCTGAGGTAAAGTCACACCACCATCACATCAGGCTCTCGCCTGCGCTCCCATACCAAGAACCTTTTTCACTCCAACGAACACAGAGAGACTAAAGCCGTTCAGTCGCACTCTGTGCAGGCAGCAGTAATATCAAAGTATATTACAAAGATATTATCTCAATCATTTCTCATTGTCATACAAAACAAGATAACGATCATTTGTTTCTAACAACAAATTGTCGCACAAATGCTACAAAAGGCAGAATTTTGTGTGCCAGTACTCTGACATATTCTCATCTATCTTTATATTATTTTTCATTTATATCATGCTAAGCTTTCATAAAACTTGTAAAAATGTTCTCATACTTATTGCTTACATTGCAATACAAAACAAATCTGAAGCTACTCGTGTCTTTTTAAAGATTGAAAGTGCAGCAAATGTTTGTAGATGTATCTTATGAGCTTTATCAGATCACCATGGCAACATTTATCTCAACAAGACAAGGTTCTGATTATCAGAAAATTTAGAAACAATAACTTTATGCTACACAAAGTAATGTAATGTTTTTGAGTATTCTCTAAACAGAGAATACTCATGCCTGAGCCTGGCATGATTTAAATCTGAATTAAAAAAAAGAAATATTCAAACATTTTCATGTGGGAATTGTAATGTTGTCAACATATTTACAGAAGTTAGTGATTGCTCAGGTAATGGACCCCATTATTACATAAAAACAAACTGCCAGTCATACAAACTCTCATACACACCCAACATGTATCTTTCTCCTCCTGCATAAATAACCCAGACTCCTGCATACAATTAGACTGAAATTCATTTAGTGAGATTGCAGCTATTATACTTGCTAAACTCTGAGAACAATGTGTCACTATGTGATGAGTTGAATAGCAATTTTGTCATGTAATTGGTTTTTCCTGTCTGTGCATGCCAGGGGGATTGGCTACATGCAAAACATGAGGGCATTTAAGACTGTTTGTCCTCTCCGAAATGAGCTTCATTTGGACATCACCACTGCTGTCAAGGTAACAATGGGCAAGCATTTATAGCAAAACAGAACATCTGTATTACAACTCAGTGAAACGCCACAGGACTTGTTCTTCTGCTGTAGTAGTTCAGTCTGCCAAAATAGAAATAACTGGAAATCTGATAGGTTGTGTTACATGAATTTTACTCTGGAAAATGGTGTATCAATTTACAATACAGATTATATTCAGAAAAAGATCATGCAAGCACAAGGAAAAGAGGGTTATTGTCTATCAGAATAACAGAAAAAAAATTCAATGTCAAACTATCTCAAAAAATCACAAGTTCCCCCGTCAATAAAGATTTTATGAACCTATGAAGAGTCTCAGTTCAGTGTAGAATAATCTTGTTATTCTTTGATCAGTTCAGGTATTTTGTATAAGCTACAAATACATACTCATAAAAATACAGGATAAATGCATCCAGAACTGATTTACTGCTGAGTGCCTCTTTCAAGCGTTATGAGTAATCTTGCTATTTTAAGGGATGGTGGGAAATTCTAGCCATTGTAAAACTCTGTACTAACAGTTCCCCTGGTTTCACAGAGCTTACAATTTCATTCATCCCTCTTTAACAGTTTTTGATTATACCAAAGTACATAAAATAATGCCTCACAGACAATTTAAAAGACAATTTTTGATAGTATTGTAATCAGAAGGTTACAAAACCTGCCTCTGGCATCTGTCAACACATTTTCTTGAAGAGGAAACTCTTCCTTTTCCTCTTCAAATTAACAGTCTTGGACATCGATACCGTTGGGTAGGAAACATGAACCAGAAATATTCATGTCTTTCGATTATGACAAAACTTCACATGTTAATACATGCTGACAGCAACCAGTGCAGACTTCACTTTGACAAAATATGTCGCTAAATGTTGTTACATCACCGGTGAAACCCGTTGTTTCTTTTCATCAACAGAAAGGATCATCTGAGTGGTATGAAAGCTTAATTGCCCAGTACAAACCAGAGGAAGGGGTAAGTTTATGACGTGTAAAGGTAGAAGGAATCTTATTTTACTAAGCACGCTGAAGCTTGTTAATCTTCTCTAATAATTCAGTCTCTGGAGGAGCAGCTGAAAAAAATGGTTCAGGTGATTGACGCAGTTTGTGCAGACATACAGAGAGGCCAAAACATCTACAACAAACTCTTCTACAGGTGATTTATTTTTATTTATTTATTTCTTTCTTTATTTATTTTTACTAAAGCCAAGAGTATGTGCTACGTACTTTATAAAATACAACCAAGTAGCATTTTATCATTTTGTGTTGTTACCTAGTAGTTGGTCTCATGTCATTTTGTTCTTTGCTCTCACAGTGCTGTGAAAGTAGATTACTTCAGCATATCATACAGGCAGCTGGAAAAACAGGTAAGTCTTTGAAACAAGGTGAAAAAGTCTTCTGAAGTCTTTGTGAGTCATGCTGTGATGTTGTTGTTGCTAAATTTGACTCTGCCTCTTTCCAATTCTCCCTCCTGGCAGGTAGCAGATGATGTAAATGTAGCAATGGAGCGGGTCTGTGGCACTCTGGAGCAAGAGAGCTCCAGACTGACTCAGACTATGGGGGAAACCATCTTCGAACTCTTCATGTCTTTGAAGATCCTCAAGGGCTTTCGAGAGTTTCTTCCCCTCAAGTTTGTTCAGCTTTAATAACTATTCATATGCCAGCCTCATCATTTGATTTGCCTCCCTTTTATTCATAAAGACTTCTGCTTTGCTCAAATAGAGATGCCAAAATGTTGGCCCTGACTGGCTTTCATAACTGGTTCAAGTCATCAATTCATAAGTTCCTGCAGATTGTTCATGACAGATCCTGTGACAGAATCCGCAAAGCTGTGGAAACAGATCAGGTGGGACGCTTCTGCTCTTCAAACACAATTATTTTTGTAATTAAAATAATTGGAGTTGATCTGTGATGACAGGCACTACACCTAGGACCAGACATTCATTCTGGTTAATGACCTAAAACCTAACCCATATAATTATTGAATTAAGTTAAATATTATTTTCCCTGTTTTCGACCACACAATTACATTTTAGTTGCGTAGACTGAGAACACACATTTGATTTGTTATTACAGTTACTTTAATATGATGTAAATGTGAACAAATAGATGAAATTGAAACAGGTTCACTGAAACATAATGTGTGTTCATAAATGCTGTGAAAAGTCGTATGTTAAGCCTCCTGACAAAATCTTAGTGTTCATGTTTTTGTGAATAAATTCATGTTCTGCCAGTGTGATGATTAAAAAGCATGTGTTTTGTGAACAGCTTCAGCCTGTGCAACAAGCCAAACACAGTTGCTCAGCAGTGGAAGTGACAGCTTGCTTCAGCCAGGTACGCAAGATCTGGCTCCAGCTGTCCTGGCCAGACTCTGCGGGGGCCTTCATCTTTGTCACTCGTCTGACAGACGTGAGTGCCACTTTTAGCATTGCAACACATGCATACTCATATCCTGCAGTCATAAAGAGATGACTCCTATGAGACGTGCAAGGGTTAAAGGAAGATTTTACCAGTTGAATTGAAGAAAGACACTTTCAATGCCTTGCAAAAGTACTAGCGTCCCTTTAATTTTTGCACATTTTGTCACACTGAAACCACAAATTTTAAATATTACAAACTTTCAGATTGTATGTGATAAACCAACACTCGGGGACATGTATGTGAAGTGAAACAAAATATGGTTTTCAGATTTTCTTACAAATAAAATTATCAAAGTATGGCATAAAAATTGGATAAAATCCAGTGCGACAAATGACCTTTTGTAGACATCTAGTTAAATCTAGTCTCATTATAAATGTAGCTGTTCTGTGAAGGACTCAAAGGTTTAAGGAACATAAGTGAACAAACTGCATCATAACACCAAGGAACATATCTGACAATGAAGGGATACAGTTGTAACGAAGTTTAAGGCAAGATCAGGTTATAAAACTATTACTCAAGCGTTGACAGATGTTCAACCCATTGTCCAAAAAAAAAGATTGCACAACTGCAAATTACTCCAAAATGATATTACTTGGCATACATGGTGGTGGCAGCATTATGCTGTGGGAATGCTTTTCATTGTTAGGGACTGGACAACTGGTCAGAGTTAGCAGTGAGATGGGATGGACATAAATCTGAAACAATATATTTTTTTGTTTTCTGTACATTTTCTGGCATTTAGAAAATAGAAATAATTTTGTTAATTCTAACTAACCTAAATAAAAAAGGTTTCTATCTCACCTAAGAATCAGACGTTTGGCCTGATTTAACTTCAGGCAGTGAGGAAAAATCAAAAAAACACATATGCGTCTTTCCATTCTGTGTATTTAAAAATCTGGTTTTAATTGTAAATACAAGAACAATTGTTGAAGGAAACAAGCTAACAGACTTGACACTGACATGAAAACTCCAAAACATTTGTGGATACAATTGCAGCCACAAATATTTCCACAAATGAATCACTCAGGCAGGTAATTTGGAAAAAAATAAAATAAAATAGACCACCATCCATATTTTTCCTCCCACATCACAAAATATAGCATCTGTATAGCATGCGGTCCATATGAAGTTATCAAGTTGTATAAATGGTCCTACCTTCATCTCCCGCAGAACTTCTGCAATGAAGCTGTTTGCTACTCGGAGATGATGACGCGCAAGATTGAGAGGAACCAGCTGGCCCGAGACCACAAGAATTTCACAGTGCAGGTACCGCCTGTAGCAAGACAGAGCAGGGGGTGACACACGATGAAGTAAAAACGATCAGAGTTCCTGCTTATAAACACAAAAGCACAGCAGGAGAGTACAAATGTCGACACAGAAATAAAGCAGATGTGTCTTGCTGTCATGACTTGTTTATACTCATAAGCCATCTTTCTACTTCTTGGTAGCTCTGCTTCTTTTCCTTCTTTTTTATCTCCTCCACCACCCTTCTCTTTCTCCTCTTTTGCTCCTCTTGGCTTTTGGCTAGATCTGCATCGGCCTGAACAACGTGGAGCATGTGCGTGTTTTCCTGGCTCACCTGCCTCGAGACCTGGACTGGCCTGGCGTGGAGCGGGCCATGGAGGAGTCGTGTGGAGCGGAGGGGAAAGAGCAGGTCTACAAAGCCCTCAACGGGCAGCTGTTCAACATGGACCTGGACCTGCAAAGAGAAGCCAAGCGCCTCATCACAGTGCTCACCGACAAGGTGAAAACATTAAGAACCTCAGTATGTATGTTAAATCTTCAATGCTAATTATAACCATCAGATAAATTGCAAAACAATATGTTTTCTGCACTATCCACCAGCACAGAAAATTATTATTTTTGTTTTGTGCCACAGATTAGTTTGTCCAGACTTTGCAAATATTGAACTTCAATTACATAAAAAAATAACAATAAAACATACCTGTTTAGCTGTAATTATTAGCTTTGCTCTTAAATAAGCCTTTTTCTATATACGCTTGTAGGTAGGTAACTATTTTGATGTTACTGACTAAAATATTTCTTATTCTGGCATTTTGTCTATTTTTTAAATGATAGAATATAAGTATTAAAAATTTCAGAGTTGCATAGCTAAGACCTAATAATTATAAAAATATTCCCACAGAATTTCCACATTAGTGTGTCATCCTATTTTTCAACCCAGATCAATGATAAAATACATTAATGAATACAGAAAGAAAGCAAAAGGATATAAAGTTTATATATATATATATATATATATATATATATATATATATATATATATATATATATATCTTTGGTTGTTTTGGGGGGTCAAACATGTACTCAAGCTATCATAGATTTGTTGATCAGTAGATGGTCATAGACACTAGCATGCTCTTCTATAACTGAGCATTATGTGTGGTGCAGATGCTGCCTGAACTGCGGCGGTACATTCAGCACATCAGCTTGTCTCCGGACTCCATCAACAATGACGACGTATGTAGCAACAACGAGCTGACATTTTCATTCCTGTGTCAGTTTTGTCATTACTGTATATTTGTGACATGTGGATTTCTCCCAGGCTGTTTGCCCCCTCATGAAGTACCTTCAAGACACGATGGTCATCCTGACAGCAAACCTTGTTAAGGAAAATCTTACCAGGTAAAAAAGAAATGACAGTAAAATACGTTTGCAAAATATTTTTTCTTTACTGTGAAAATGGGGTATTTGTGTGTGGAATTTTCAAAAGAGATTAATTCAGTACAAGTTGGAATAAGACTGTAACATCACAAAGTGTGAAAAAAGTGAAGCACTGTGGATACTTTTCAGCACTGTACCTTTAAAATCTTGAAGATGAAATTGCAAAAAAATGTGGATCTAGCATAAATTTGAAAGTAGCAGCTATATTATGACATAATGTGGAACAGTCCAAGGGTAGGAATACTTTTACTTGAAACATTGAATATTTTTAACTATATAGAAATAAGTGAAATAAGTGTTTCGCATAATTACAATCTACAATATTGTTAAGTGACAATACTTATATCATTTAATGGTGATATTTCTGTAGAATTATTTTCATATGTGTACTACAAATAAAATTTGATCTGATCTGATCAGACAGTTTAGCCAGAAGTAAACCAATAGATCTCCTGCATGTTTCCCACTCATGTAAAAATCAGCCAACATGTTTGGCTGATTAAAACCTCGAGCAAAGCTGGCAGGCAGGAGCTACATATGAAATCTGTCCTGTAAACTTCTAACCTTTCCAAGTCGATTATCTAGGAAATGATGGACAGCACTTCCTCCATCTTTAAAAGAGGAAACACCATCTGCTTTTGATATGAGGACTCTGCAATGCCAGGATGCATGACTGCATGAGGGTCCATTAATGCACATGGTGTTTAGTAACTTTTGCTTACATGGAAAAACCACTAAGGCTGAAAAATATTTACTCATTTTAGAGTGACACAGGCTGCTACCAAAGATGGCATCTTTTTCAGGAAAGACCTTGGCTCTGTGTTAAATGATTGGGCAATTATCTAGATTTGGCTAAAACAACCAAGCAGCTTTTGATTATGATTAAGTGATTATTTTAGTTCACCATTTAATATGTTGCTGTTTTCTTCCAGAAGTATGAGTTTGGCAAAATGACTACATGTTTTTGTGGCCTGTGGGCATTATGTTTGAGAGCATTGTTCGTGCTTGTTGCCTCACAGAGTTCTGCAGAGCATGTGGGAGCTTCTCCTGCGAATGATCCTGGACGCGGTCACAGAAAACAGGGGTGTTCAGGTGGAGTTCTACAACCGCTTCCAGTACACAGTTGAGGTCAGTGTCATAGCTTTGTTGACCCACTTTCTTTTCCATTAGTAAATGTTTGCTCCCGTCCCTTTCTAGCTTTCTGCCGGCTGTAATGCTCTAATTAGCATATGTCAGATATTCATGAAGTCTTCAGATAGCAGCTATGTGGCAACATGAGCTCCCTTATGAATGACAATGTAGAAAATGTTATTTATTCAACAAAGTCAACGACCTGGCAGGGGACGTCACACATTTCCATGAGACGCTTAGGTCTTCCATAGACGTGGGCTAAGTTAGGATGCAGTAGCCGCTCGCACTGTCCCTCCACACCTTCCTCCACAAATATCACATTTGCCTGCCCAAGGTTTCATAATGTTAGTGTGAACAACAGGCATCTTCTCAGAGCTGAGACTTTAGCCTATTCCTATTGGAGAGGTGTGTATAATGACTCATAGCATGCTTGTTCTATTTCTGTCATCATTTAAATGTTTTAGACCCTGTTGCAGTTCTTCCATGTTAAGGGTGACGGTCTGGCCTTGGAAGACATGAAAAGTGGAGACTACAAGGTATGTAGTCATGCAATTCTGCCAGCCGAGTTTCATGTGCACGGTAAATTAAATTTGGCTCTTTTATATGTTTCCCTAACTGATCACCTTCATTGTTTAGGTCTTGGATGAAGAGCTCAGGCTTAACAAATGTTCCTCCTTTGATCTGATTGAGCAGTACTACCTGGAGAAGATTTCCCTCCAGGTGTGTTTTAAGTTACCGGACAGACAATTTCATTTAAGTGGATGGAGAGATATTGATTGAATACCCTGAGCTCTATTGCTTCACCCCTGATTGAAAGTCTGGCCTTTTCTTAAGCCCCTAAAAGCAACATGCAATCAAATATTACGAGACACTGTGAGAAATTTAGAATATTTTTAGAATAAGAAAATTATTATTCTTGTTAGTGGATGTTTTACTGCTAGGTAAACACTTAAGAAATATGTTTTTGACTTTGCTTGTGATGTAACATGTCACAGAAAACACTCAAGCATACGCCTTATGGTCGAATCAGTGTGAAATGCTACTACGATCCTCCAGAGCAGAGACTCACAGTGGAGATTTTGCACGCTGCAGACATTATCGCATTGGATGCTAATGGTAAAAGTAAAAACAAATGTTTTTTGACAGACATAAGCTTTGCAGAACATCTTGTAATACTTTTGTCATCTCCTTCAGGTCTTAGTGATCCATTTGTGATTGTGGAGCTTTGTCCTCATCACCTCTTTCCAGCAGCCAAGAGTCAACGCACTCAAGTGAAGCTAAAGACGCTGCATCCAGTATTCGATGAACTGTTTTATTTGTGAGTGAAATGCCTTAGTTTCTTCTCCGCATATATTATATTATTATCACTAACTTCGGACTATTTTATCTGTCTTTCATTTAGCAAGCCAACACAATCTTACTGACAGTTACAGTATGAAGTGAAAGGAAATATTACATAATTTTAATTTTCTCTTCCTTTTTTTGTATAAATAAAAACCTGAAGCGTGAGTTGTGCATTAAAGTTATTACATTAGTGACAGCACTTCAGGCCATACCAGGTTCAGCTGATTGATTGAACAGAAAATAAACAACATTATTGGGAGACAGACGGGACAAAAACAAAGAGGGTGGAGGTGGAGGGGCAGGAAGACACCAACACCAGCAAAAAGACACATTTTTAAACAGTTTTTTAAGGCCAATAAAAAACTATTTTAATGGCCTTAAATGTAGTAGTCTAATCTTAAATGTCATGCTCTCATTGTCTGTGAGTAGAAAATCATTACAATTAACAGAAATAGAGGCTTTCAACTATCCATCTGTGTGTAATTAATCTATACACTCTTTCACTTAGTGATAAAGTTCCTAAAATAAATGGGCTTTTCAGTAATACTCTAATTTATTGAATGGGTCTGTAGATTTACAATGAGATTAAATTACACACAGATGGGCTCTGTTTACTAATTAGGTAACATTTGACAAACAAGACATTTGGTCACACAAATTGTTTTTAGATGAATCAGAGTAACAGTTGGAGGAGCGGGGAAATACATCTATTCACACCAAAATAAAAAAAACAAAAAGAATTGAAAGCCATTATTAATTGTTCTTACATTCCTCAATTTTTCTCTGACCTGTGTTGGTCCATCACATAAAATTCTGGTAAAGCAGACTGAAGTTTGTGGTCACATGGCAAAATATGGAAAAGACAGTGTGTGTGTGGGTGTGTGCGTGTGTGTGTGTGTGTGTGTGTGTGGGTCGGTCTGTGTATGTGTGTGTGTGTGTGTGGGTCTGTGTGGTGTGTGTGTGTGTGTGTGTGGGTCTGTGTGGGTGTGTTTGTGTGTGTTTGTGTGTGTGTGTGTGCGGGTGTGTGCGTGTGTGTGTGTGTGTGTGTGTGTGTGTGTGTGTGTGTGTGTGTGTGTGTGTGTGTGGGTGTGTGTGTGTGTGTGTGTGTGTGGGTGTGTGTGTGTGTGTGTGTGTGTGCATGTACATGGCGGTGTACACTCTGTTGCTCATTTGATTGGTTCTTTGACTCTATTGTCTTCCAGTCATGTCAGTCCTGAACAGTACAGGCACAGGTACGCCTGTTTGACTTTCACTGTGATGGACTATGACTGGCTGTCGACCAACGACTTTGCTGGAGAAGCCGTCGCTCCACTCAGCGACTTCTGCTGGCCGGGGAGACCCAATGCCTCAGCTGCCGGAAAGAATGTCCAGCCCGTCATTCTGCACTTGTCCCGCAGCAAACCCAGTGGTACAAATGCTGTAGTTGAGGAAGTTTCGGTCTGTTTGCCTTCTGATGTAATTCTAAGAATATAAGAGGTATGTTTGCTCTTTCTCCCTCAGAAAAGCCAATCATGAGGATGTTGGACGCTCGCACGGGAGACAGGGAGGCTCAGGAGTTCGTTCGCAGGCTGAAGGAGATTGAGAAGTCGATGGAGGAGGACTAAGAGCTGTTAGTATTGGTTGTATTCATGTTTTCTGATCACATCTTGCGACACGTGCTTTTGTACTTGTAACAATGTTTACAATATTTACCCTTTCTTTTCCAATGTATTGTTTGCTCGGTAATTATACCAAAATGAAAAGAACATGAGGATGTTTTCTTACTGGAAAATGAACCTCCAGTCACTGTGCAACTCTATGCTGTCTCAGTTTAACTATATTTTAGAAGTCAATGGATAGTTGATACTGAATGTTACTAGTCTATATTTTTTGTAATGAAGTAATTGTTATGTTTGTTGTATAATATTTGATATGATAGATTTAACATTTAAAAAAATATTTTGTGAAAGTAGCCAACATATAGCTCTCAGTCTTAAGTCTAAATCTATACCTCAGATATGTTTATTGAATACAGACGTGTTTTGATGGGGGTTCTTCACAGGTAATGTGAGTGCAATTGGATGGAAGCTTATTTAGGGTGTTCACCTGCTATAGCATCCATCATAATTAATGGCACCTATGGAAAGGATGTGTTAATCTGTAGGGAGTTTGATTTGATTTAACTATTACTCTGTCTAAAGATATGGGAAAGCTTAGACTGAGTAATCTATTTCCTTTACGACTAAAATCTCCACACATCTGTCCAACCTGCATGCCAATTTTCTTGTTTTTCTCACTAAAAGTTGTGGTAAGAAGAAGCAAATTTATGTCACATCCTTTGTTAAACCACAGGAAAGCAAGATGTTGCTTGACATGCAAATCCACCTTAAAACAGTAAATAATAATTGAAGTACAATTATTTTTACAGTGGAGTAGAAATTACAAATAAAAGGAGTAATATAATGCCACAGAGGAGTAAATTTCTACAAAAAACTTTGTGAGATCAATTTCACATATTTACAAGAAAATACTTAGATATTCTCTGATGTTAAAAACTTTGTTTAAATATTTTATCCGAATTTTTTGTGTTGTAAATTTGCAAATAACTTCCCCGTAGCCAATTATTTTATGAAATCTTACTTTTCACTAATTTTCTTAATGCAGAAAATTGTGCCACATTTCATGTTATTGAAAGGTAGGATTATTTTATTTTATTTTATTTTACTTTGGGGCTTGGTGCTATTAAGGAGCACTAAGGGGTGCCATTAACTGTGGAAAGTGCTGGATGATTTATTCTTTGACGCTTCTTAATATAAACATAATAAGACATTAATTGTAAGAACACAATTTTGGGTAGTCGTAAATTTTAAGCTTGTGGGCCAGTGAGAGGTCTGCAGCAACAAGGTCTAACATTTCCTCGCACACAAGTCACTGTGTGCTTTCATTTAACTTTTAATCACCTTGCATTAACATGAAAAGTCACCAAAGAAACCAATGACAAGAGACTTCAGTGTTATAAAAACTTAGTCACCTACCTCTTTCTTTTTTCCTGTTTGCACAAGAGCAACAGGTTAACTGAAAGCTGTTTTATGTTTATTCAAAGCTTTTATATAAAGAATATCTTACCTAACGCTCACCTAATTCATGAAAAACTTGATAAAATACTTGCTGAGTAATATAAAGTGACCCAGTGAGTTCAGATCATTTCAAAAATGTTATATTTTGTTCAGAATTGAACAAATTAATGAACAAATGACTCTAAAGAGTTCAAGGAATGCATTTCTAGGACTGACCTCCACTTTCTCTCTTTGTCCTTCACATTTTTATTCTGATGGAGGCAAAAATACTGCATCCTCGTTTCAGAAATGCCAGCGTCTCATTCTTAAAGGAAAACCAGGCTAATTGGTTTGGATTCGCACATGTAGTGTTCAGAATCCACCAGAAAACGACTTCAGGCGTCACAGTGCCTGGGATATGAAAGCTTTTAATCCATGAAGGCCTTCGTTTATGTTTTAAATATGAATCTGTTCCATGGTTTGACATTTTCTCTCTCAAGGTGAAGAGAAGTGAGGATAATGACACGTGCAGTGGTATAATTGCACTTGAGGGGAAAAGAAAGTCCTACCCTCTGCAGCAGCTCTCTCTGGCCTGACAAGCAGAATTAAGCTTGAGCTCCAAACACTCTTTTAGTGGAGCTGGAAGACTGGAACCTTAATGCTGCTGCAAAAAAGATGAGGGTCACACTTTGACCTGGAATCCAACCACCTTACCTTGTGAAAAGGACATTCATATTACATGGTTATGCAAAATAAGGAGTATTAAACAGGCTTCAAAAAGCACAAAATATCTCAGTGTTGCTATTGCAAGTTGACAAATAGTTAAGTAAATATTGATTAGATTAATCCTAGCTTGGTCAAAAATTTCTCAATACATATGTTTACTTTATTAAAGGTATTATGGATTTTTTTTTAAATGCACAAATGGGCAAATTTGCTGGTACCTTTAGTACATTTTAGTATGTTAAAAATTGTTAAAAAGTAAATCTCTTCTCATATTAATTTCACCTTTAATGTAAGAACTTTTGTGCTTGGTGAGGATTATTCCATGTAGCATTTCCTTTTTGTGATAAAACATTCAGCACTAGAAAACCTGTTTAGTCAGACTTAAATTGTGCCACATTTGTAAAGAAATGTATTTGTGGGTGGAGCAGGAGAGCTGAGTGGGCTGCACCTTTGACTAACTTATCAAATGTTCTCAGCCAATTTCAACAGCTTCTGGTTGAGGCAGTGTTGTGATCTGGGATAGTACATCCCTCATTGGAAAAATTAGGCTTTTTAGCCTTGCCAAACTATTGAAGAGGTTTGAAATAAATCTTGTAAGCTGTGCATGATATCTGGCTGTATATTTGGATGCTTTGTCTGGTTTATGACACAGAGAGGATTTGCAGAGTTATTCATGAGCCAAACCTACTTACTCAACTCTGCTATTCAACCCACAAACACTTTTTCCCTACAAATGTTCCACTCTAAACCATAAAAGCTTTCCGAAAGTAAACCTACACATATTCAAAAAAAAAAAAAATAATAATAATAAACAAAGATACAATTGTTTTTCCCACTGAGTAAACACATTCGAAGTAAAAGTTTTGACATTTTTATTGCCACATTACCACATCTGAACACAACTTTATTTTAGGATTTTTCAAAGTCTTCTACAGGAGTGCTAGCTAAGAACAAATAAGAGCTTTTGCCCATTTAGGCTTTTGGGGGTTTCTGAAACATATGATATTGATATTTTTTTCACAATTTCAAATCAGTCTCTAAGTTGAAGTAAAGAAAGTGTAGCAGGTACTCGGCACCAAAATCCTCACACCGACAGCATTTTGACAATGACGTAACTTTTTAGTAGCTGCTTGTGTAGTGCTTTGCTGTAAACGTGAAGTTGTGAGAATAAAGCACTCAGAAAAAAATAACAGAAAAGAAAACATTAAAATACAAACATGTTTTGCATTACAGGGTTTGTTCAGGTGTTCAGGAAGCCTGCTTTCTTACAGGTGCAGGGAGTCATTCAGTATGTCTGAACAGCACTTGCATTTATGTTTGTTTAGTTTATTTTTGAGATGTGGCATTTAGTTACCCCCTAGAAGACAAGCGCAGCTTATTAAGGTAATAGTTGAATAGCTAACAGTGTTTGATTGGCATTCGTCCTCAAAAACTTTAATTTATTACCTACAAATGTTTACAAAGAACAATGCAACCTCATTTTGAGTATAAACAGACATTAAAATTTAGATTAGGGTCATGATATAGTAGCCATTTATATCTTTATAAAGACAGTATTAAGGGGAGTAGTTTTAAATTCAGGATCCTCTCTTTGGAATAATAATAATAATAATAATAATAATAATAATAATAATAATAATAATAATAATAATAATAATAATTTGTTAATATTCAGTCACAGTAAACTAGTTGTGTTTTTGTGACCAACATAAAAAAGGGGCAAAACATAAGTTTAAAAAAGCATGTTTTAGACATGCACAAATTGCAACAATAGTTAAATTTCTCCCCATATAATGATTTCCTTAATTTTGATGATTTTTCTTCATATTTCAGAGATCAAAGCTAGTAAAAACTGTCTAAAGTGGAAAAAAACTTTGAAATTGTTATTGTTAAAGTGAATCATTTGTCATTGAATTGTAAATGCCTGTGTTGCTGTTTATTAGATAATAACTTTAGAAAATGTCCCTGACCCAATAAAGACTGTATTTAAATTTCATCCTGGTTTCTTCATTCTCATAAAAACTGTATGTATTATTTATTGAAATTATAGCAGCCTTAGGAAAAGGGTGCAACATTGGCACATGATGCAACCCAGCACACGATCGTAGTGTGAAAAAAAATAAAATCCACAGGCTGATTTTGACCTTTTTGTCCATTCATCCTCTCTGTCAATCTCTCACCTTTCTTCACCACACTCCTCCTCTCAGTCCTGTGTCTCTGGCAATCCTTGACCTTTTAATATTTCGCTTCCCGACTGCCGCGACTAGCCGGAGATCAAACACGTCCTGCAACACAGCAGCAACTCTGCAGAAGAACGACATAAAACTACGAGAAAACAGTGGTGTTCATTATGTCCACTGTGAGAATACAGAGCCGCAGGACACACTCACCTTAGTGTCCATACCACTCAAAGGGACTGCTGTGACACTGGATTAGACAAGGATTTCTCATAGCTGCAAGACACAAAAGCTTGTGGTTTACTGACTGGCAGTCGATACGTTCTAAATGAGAAACCTGGTGAAAACAGATGGGTTATGAACTGCATGTTAGCTCAAGTGTGGAGAGGATCTTGTCATTTTATACAGACACAATGCCCTCCAAACAGTGCATCAGCTGCAGCATGTGCAAGGCTGAAGCCAGTTGCAGATTAGTGATACTGGCTCCCTGTGATGAATTGAGTGTTTGTTTGACAACATGGATTTTAGAAAAGCTGGGTAAAAATGTTGCAGGGCTTTTGATTCCCACCACTAGATGTCCCTATAGTTTCATTAACTGTTTCCACTCAGCAACTTATGCAGTTATCTTCGTAATGACAACTAAAAACAACATTTACTCATTTTTTAAGGACAGTAGGCTATATTATACATAGTGTTTTTTAGTAGTAATGCCAGGATGTATTTCCAATTACCAAACTTTTCATGTATTCCAAGGACCGTCTTACTGACAACATATTGTAAACAGCACAGCAGAACTATAAATTTGTCACTTTGTTGTGCTGTTATCTATGTAGAAAATCATTACTGGATAAAGGATTTTATGCATTTCTACTTTTACCTTAAACTTAAAACTTTGAAAATTAATAAAAAGGTTGCACAAAGTAAGGGAAATACCTAATAACAAGCCCTGTTTTCCATTGTATAGCTACTGACGCTCAATTGCAGCAAACGTATAAGAATAGTTTGTTGATGAGAGACTAAAATGAATATATCTTCTCATTATGTCTTCTCTAGGAATAAGAACAAAAGTAAATAAATCCTTATGTCAAAGTCAGTATTTACTCCTGCTGTCTGTTAAAGTGACAGCAATAGTCACTATTCCTTTGTAATTCCTTTATAATTTTAGTGAAAAAGTAAAAACAAGTATATATATATATATATATATATATATATATATATATATATATATATATATATATATATAATTTATCATTTCACATAAACCCAAAATAGAGGTCCATCATGTTTTGATGTTAGTTAAGAATACACCAAGCTTTTCATACAAACTTTTCCTTAAATCTTATGAAAAAGCTGGAAGTCTGTAGCAGTGTCTGATCCCCAGGAATGTTGGCAATGTCTGTGCTTTGCTGTTGCTCCTCTTCTGGCTCTGACAGATACATTTAACACAGCATTGATGCTGCAAAGTCTTATCTTCTCTCAGACAAGCCTAATCCTCCATGCAGAATGTTACACCATAGTCCCTGTCTCCTCCCACCACAGCAGCTGAACCTGGATCCCCCACACACCCAGATGTGGGATTTCACACCTGCACTACTTTCAGCATCAGTCAATGGAGCAGCATTGTAAATTTATACAAACTAAGCTATCTTTTGGATCTCTGTGTGCATGTGCTGGCAAGACCCACTATTCTGTTTGTGGTTTATGTTCAAAAAAATAAAAAATGTGACCATTTATGCACCCTAATTTCAAAATTTTGGTAAAATTGCCTGTGAACGCTGTGCTGTATCATTAAAAATGTGTACTGCTGCGAGGGCCTGTGAAGATGCCTTTAACAAAGATCACTGCATGCAAGGACATAAACACCTGTGCCTGCAGGTGCATCTCTTGCTGACAGGTCTACATAATTAGACACTTCTGAAGTCAGCCTTTGCTCTTCAGTGTATGTGATGTGGGAAGAAGCCTACACAGCAAGTCCTTTGTGGCTTCTGAGGCCTCTGCTGGAGTGAGAAGAGATAATATTGGACAGCTTGCCCTTGAGGAATGCAAATGGGGCGGTGTTTGGGCCACAGCCAGTGATTTGCTGGGTCTGTTGGCCAAATCCATCAGAGAACCATCCCTTTATCTTCTTACAGTATTGTGTTGACTGATCCCAATATACTGTCTGAATGAGACCAGAATGAGTCCATTAATGTGGACACACAGGCTCTGACATGTTCTCATTAGGTTTATTCTCTGTAAAACTAAGGATTGAGTCTTTCTGAATTAAGGGAACTCACTCTGCTTGAACACTGATTCATGCTGGAGAACTTTCCAGATAAACAAAAAGAAATCTGATTCATTATTAAAAGCCAAGTGGAGGAAAGAAATTTCCAGTGTTGCTACATATTAATTTAATGCAATCTTTGATTTCCGCTAGACTTCTAAGTTATTTTGCTCATAAAAATATTGGTAATTGAATTTCTCTGGGTCATTTATGAGCATAATGTGTCTCTCATAGTTGTAGGTTATGTTTTGGTGCTCCACACTTTAATTTAATAAACATTGACTATAAAGATTCTGTTTGATAACAAACTTATTACTCAAAAGGAAATATGTTTTTTAAGACCCCAGAAATGACCAGAGAGGCCTGCAAACACATTCTCAAAGTAATTGTAGGACATGTGTAAAAGATCAAATCTCAGGTGTTCATTCATGGTCTCTTCATAATTTATCGGTGTGATTGTTCATTATAGAAGAGTGATCTGTTTTTCCACATAAAGCAATACATTCAGCAGCAGTCGATACAATTTTTCTCTTAGCTCTCTATGCTGTTGTTCTTTTTCCACATGCACTTATAACTGCAGAACCAGTAATTGCACTGAAAGCAGTTAGAAGTTGTACATAACTACATAATTAATTACAACAAATTGTAAATTTGATCACGTGCAGTAGAAAAATAGTATCGCCTTTCAGGACTTATAGCCTTTCAGGACATAAGCCACTTATCACATGAGCAGCACCTGATTCTTTTTTTCTTTTTTTTCCCACTGACTAGTTATAGCAGCAACCCTGGGGATGCATTTTAACTACTTTATAAGGAAAAGGTTTGCTTGGGGAAAAAAAAGAGACAACAATATGAAAAACAGAGATGAACTTTTATGAGGGGTATCTTTCCTTTGGGGACTTAAATAAGAACAGAACTGTTTGTCTCTGAGAAGGAGTCATTATTGTGGTAGAACTCATCCACATGAATCCACTCAGTTTATCCACTCAGCAAGTACAAAAACAGCGGCTCTCTCAGCTGCTCTCAAAAGTGCATATACTGTTTCTGAGACTCTATAAAAGGGTTTTATATATTCAGCACTCTTCTTAGTTGAAATTCACAAACAAATAACAGCAGGAGCAAAAAACGAAGAAAAAATAGAAAAAAAACTGGCTCAACTTTGGGTTTACTTTATTTAGTTCAGCTGCCACCGAGGGGGCTTGTTTTGGAATGTATCTTTGTATAAATGCTTTAACAGTAATTATAGAACTGGCAGGGAATGCTATGCATAATTTACCAGATCCCAGGGTATTTTTCTTAAGATATAAAAAGGTGTTTAGCACATATGGTGTTTTTTTTTTCTGCCACTTTTTTTTTGTTTGTTTTCTTAAGAAAACTTGCTGTTCAAACGAGCCTCGTGGTGTTTAAAAAAAGCACTGAGATATGGCGGCAACAGAGGTTTCTGTTTGCTGTCGAATTTATCAGACGACGACTGCAGAGAGGGAGAAATCTCAACGTGATACTGCAGAAAATCACATCCCTTAGATAGGATATAGAAACTGAAATAAATGTAAAGTTTGAATTTCTGGTACACATTTAAAACTGACTGGTAACAATGAAGTGACAGCAAAAAAGAATTATATCCCAGAGGGAGTTTTGTGTCATATTTTATTTTTCAGTGCATTACAGATTTTAGGTTAAAATGAAAAAGATGGTTTGCATGCAGTAAAAACAAGTTGCACACTGTTTGCTTTGGCAAGAAGAAAATAAAACATCAGTCCTGTGGAAACATTTCAGAGCTAATAGCTGTAATGTGGCATTGACAAAACATACTTATTCCAGTTTGACAATGGTTTTCTTTAACAACTGAACAAGCAATTTTAGCATTAGGTTTGGAGCTTCAAAATTTAAAATGAAACCCAGTTCCTTTCTGCTAGGAAATATGCTAATTGCTTCTTGTCTAATTACATTCAGAATGCAGGAAGGCCACAGAAGGTTAAGAAGGCATCAGAAAGAGAAGATTTGCATTCATCACTAATCAAAGCATGCACAGTGCTGCATCAATGCCAGAGGTGACATTTTGATCAGAGCTCTTGAGACCCCTCGTTATTCATTCTTATCGCTGCTGCCCTTTTCAGAAGCAGGAAATTATTATGCAAAAATCCAAATTCTTTAAAGACGCCGCCATGCCATTCAAAGTCTGTGCTAATTGAATCTCAAAGACCACCATCCTTGTATCAATTTCTTAGCGGCTGTCGCATCCTTCTAAAATTCTCTGTTGTGAAGCCTGTCTCTGAGGTGATCATGATAATAGTGAGCTTTAGTTCATTTCCTGTTGCAGCTCTCCATGAACGGGGCATCGGAGGGTCAAGTGGTCAGTTGGAAAGCCGAACTGTCTTTGAAGTCGGTGATGGACACTTTCAGACAAAAGACGACTGTATCCATGGTCACCGATGGTGAAAGAGCGAGAATGTGACCGGTTACCGCTAAAATCTCCTGGTTCAAACTGAGGTCAGCAGACTTCACACTTCCCAAACAATGTTGGATTGGATGCCTATTTTTCCTTCCAGATCTCTG